ATTTCATAAATTGTAAGGTTGGCGGCCATCTTGAATTTTTTTTTATTTTTGTCAAGAAACATTTCTGGAACCTAACATATTGGTATACATCATATTAAAACTCTATTATAGAAAAAACAGCAAGATTTGTTTATGTGTATGCTAGTTTTCTGTTCTAATATGCTGGCTAAAATACATAAAACGTGTGAAAATTCAAAATGGCCGCCAAAAAAATTCCTCAAGGATGCCCGTTGGGCATCCGACAGTTTCTGAATATGGATATCATGTTTAAACAGAAAATGCAAAAAAAGTTCATATAATAAGCATTTCCACCTTCACTTAAAATATGGCACTTCACATCCGGACTATTAATGGGAACTTAACTGACTGGTTTACCGCAGAGCTTGGATGCAAACAGGGGGACCAAATTTCTCTGACACTCTGGTCCATCTTTGTGAATGACTTAGTCACATCAATAAAAGGTCTTAATAATGGAATTAGGATTAACGACGAATATATCTCAACTCTGCTTTATGCGGACGACATGGTGTTCATTGCGTCAACGGAACAGGATTTACAATTAATGTTAGATACAATGTACGTATGGACAACGAAATGGCGTCTATCTGTAAATACAGAGAAAACCCAAGTAACACATTTCAGACGGACTGCACGGCCAAAAACTGATTTTAATTTCACGTTTGGAAATTCTAATTTAGTGATAACAAAATCGTATGGTTATCTCAGTCTTATCTTAAACGAGACACTGGATTACACCGAAACTGCAACAACATTAGCTGAATCCAGTGGTCGTGCACTTGGTGGACTTATCAGCAAACATTTTTCCATAAATGGATTAAACTTTAGCACATATACTAAGATATATGACAGTGCTATTGCCCCGTTCATGGACTATGGATCAGGAGTTTGGGGATATAAGGAATTTAGCAAACCACAGCTAGTACAAAATCGAGCAATGAGAACATTTCTTGGCCTGGGTAAATACGCTCCCCTTCCAGCAATTTACGGTGATATGGGATGGATACCGCCTAACATCAGACACCGATTGGAGATGGTGAGACTCTTTATTAGACTAAGCAAAATGCCTAGAGATAGGCTGACTAGAAGAATTTTCGACTTTGATTATGAAAATACTATCTTAGGACACAAATGTTGGTGCAAGGATGTAAGGGAAATATTTATATCTGCTAATTTACAACGTGAATATGAAACGAGACACTTTGGAGATAGTTCACTCATCCTCGATTCTGTTAAAACAGTGGAACTGCAACGATACATCGAAGAATGGAAACTTAAGATTGCCAATATGCCAAAACTAAGGACTTATAGGACATTTAAAACATCATTTGAAACAGAAGACTATGTCAAGATCTGTTTACCAAGGACATTCAGATCATTGCTTGCAAAAGCAAGATCAGGCACATTATCATTAATGCTGGAGACTGGAAGATATAGATCCACCCCAGTTGACCAGAGACTTTGCTTACATTGTAAGAAGGGTGCACCCCAGTTGTCCGAAACCCAGTTGTCCGAAACCCAGTTGTCCGAAACCCAGTTGTCCGAAACCCAGTTCTCCGAAACCCAATTGTCCGAAACCCACTTGTCCGAAACCCATAACTCCGAAAAATATAGTCATAATTTACCAGAGAAAGGGGAGACGTACTTAAGCTTAGGCCAGTTTCATGCCATGTATTTGGCCAAATTAATGGCATGGACGCATTCTGATGTTCATAGATCTCTCTCTCTCACTTCGAATTGCATCCATTGCACGCGTTACCAGAATGGTAGGAACGGGGGATTTATTTTACATTGTGATTCTAAAAAAAAGGTTATCCGAAAACACAATATATATTACAGAACAGTTTATCTTATCTTCTTCAATCTCTTTTATATAGGCAAAATAAAATGAATCATTTTGAAACAGATAAAATAAGTTTACGCATATAGTACTTTAAGAATAAAACAGTAGTCTATACATATTACGGTGTAAAATATTTCGTCGCATTTAATTTCTTAGTCTCTGTATTTTATCAAATCGTAAAAGAACAAAACATTCTTAACTTAATCACTTGGGATCAACTGGAAACGAAGGAAGGCTGTCCTCGTATCAAAATGGATGTTCCCACATTCGCAAGAAGTTTCATTTTCGCCATGTACTCACTTCATCCTTTTAATTTAATCTCTATTTCTCGAACAGAGTACGTAAGTGAGGAATAAGTTTTGGTTTCAAAAGATGTACATGTCAACTTTACTAAATAAATGCCCACTGGCTTGGGAAAGCTATTTTTCCTTTTATGAACGCCCATCACCCATTGGAAAAATGTTGTTCCCTCTCAAAAAAGGCTGATGGGCCATAAAGAAAATTGGTTTAAAAATTGTAGACCCCTATGTATGTTGTGTAAACGCCATTTTACAATGAGAATAACATAATTTAATTTTGTTTGTTTGAACATCTATATCACCTGTATATGAACTTTCGTAGGCTAAACATTAAACAATTAACGTCTTGACTTAGCATATTTAGCCTAATTTTGCAATGATGTCAACGTTATTCCGATGTTATGTTGTGATTCGCAGAGGTTGCGACAACGAGATTCGTTTAAAAAAATTGTATTTATCAAATAAGATCCCCCGGAGAACTGGGTTTCGGACAACTGGGTTTCGGAAAACTGGGTTTCGGAAAACTGGGTTTCGGAGAACTGGGTTTCGGACAGCTGGGTTGACCCCTTGTAAGAACGATAATATATCCATTATTGAGGACGAGTTTCACTTTTTACTAGTATGCCCATCATATAAAAATCTACGAGAAGACTTATTTTTGTCTGTTAAACGTATTTTACAAAAACAAGAACTTATTATTGATGATGAACTTTTGAAACTTTTATTACATGACTTTAGATTAGTGCGCCATACTGGAAAATTCCTGAATGCTGCTCTTATCAAAAGAGCAAGCTTCGTTTAAATAATCTTATTATAATATTGTTTTCAAATATATTGTACAATGTGCCCCATAAGCCTAAAATAGGCTGGGTATTCTATACGAGGCACTTAAATAAATAAATATACATACATACATATTATCGTGAGGTAATTGTGGATTCAACTACACTAAAAGAATGCTAAAATACCAAGGAATCCATTGAAGTAGGTATCTTAAGTGTAAGAGGCGTAGAAAATTCTCCCATGTTGTAATCATAGAGGCAAAACATTGAGACTTATCCCGTGTCAGGACTATAGTCATGCGAATGTCTTATTCTTTTGCCTATACGATTACAACATGGAAGAATTTTCTACGCCTTTCTACTGCTTACTTTTGGTCTCTATAACTGTGTCTTACATCAGCATAGGCTAAGGGTTAAGTAATAGTATGCTGTATATAGAAGAGACAGGTGAACAACTAGGATTTAGGCCACTTGTTAACATGGCGATTTTAACATTATTTGTGTATAATTTTCAAAAAACAATGCAGAGTTGATCCAAAATTGATAGTTCTCAATTCTTACCTATGAATCAACCACATTCAAGTGATATAGAGTGAATAAAGCCGTCTTGAGGCGAGATATTCTGAAAACCTACAATTGCCTGGCAAGTTACCCGGATTTTCGTGCTGAATGGAAGTTTGAAACAAGGAATTTGATTGGTTCCTGCTAACCGCCGCCAGTGACACCTATCTGGTTCTCTAAAATGTAATTCATTTTCTAGAAATAACAATCAATTAAAGTGTACAAAACTATAAAAGGTTTACTTAATAATTATTTATCAAAACATCTGATTCATATAATATCTTTTTAAACCCAATTTAAATGGTGAAATTAACATTTTTCTTGGAATTTTAAACTTCTAATTACAACCAATCAAATCAATCGTTACAAGATTCAATCTTTCCATGTGTCCGGAAGTTTCAACTTGCCGGGCAATTGCAGGTTCGTACAGTTGGTGTTTTTTATGCTGTCTTATCGAAGAGTTAGGATATAGATTTGAAATATTCAACAATATACGTTTCGAAAACACTTTGGAGAAGATTCTTGGGAGATTTGGTGGTACGACTCGATACCAGTAAGGAGAACTCGTACCAAGACGGCAAGTTTTTGAAAAAAATTTCAATCCTTATTGTTTACCTGTCTCTTCTATATACAGCTTACTATTACTTAACCCTTAGCCTATGTACATCAGTATCATCAATCCATGCAAGTATTGGAGCGCTGAAATCTTTTTCGATCAAGACTTGTAAATTGTTCATCGAGTGAATGTTTTTTCGACCCATTTCCAATATGGCGGTTTGCTAGGAGCGATATATGCAACGAATGAAATGAATTTTGAGAATGAGTTAGGTTCGGACAACCTCCGGAGATTTACGAAAATGTCCGAGCAGAAAACTCCATATTGGAATTTGGCAGAAAAAACATTCACTCGACTGACAATTTTATTGGAAGTACATCAGTGCTCCAATATTTGCACAGAAGGATGATAATGATGTATGACATAGTTAGAGAAGAAAAGTAGGCTGTGATCGACTTCATTCGTGTTTCAAAGGTCACTAGGGTTAAGGGGTGTAATGTCGACGTGTGGGGTAATGTCGACATAATAGACGGGGTAACTTCGACACTTACGTATTAGAAGTAGAATTTCCGTTTTCCGCCATGTTTGATTTCTGGAAAAAATTAAAATCTCGCGAGATCTCGATCCATGCGAGAAAAAAACATGGCTTCCCCCTAGATTGGAAATTAGAGCAAATAAACAACAAGGTGTCAAAGTTACCCCACATGTCGAATTAACCCCAAAATGGTGTCGACGTTACACCCCTTCGCCCTATTATTCAGCTGACCATTTCTAAGTTGGAGAGCCATAAGTTTCAAAATCTAACATGGCTCTCGAAGTGAGTAAAGTTATTGTTACTTGCTACCTTTTCTTGCTTCTAGATTCATACATCTTTTCATTTTTTTCATTTTTCCAAAAAGTGAACAGTTCCGAAAACATGAAAAAAAAATCAGAAAACTGACCTAAATATATCGGAGACGTTTCTCCAGCCAGGTCCCACATAACCATCTCCAATTGGTGTCAACTTTGGTTGCATTGAACGTTGCAGGACGATAACACCAACTGCAGTTACACAAATCAACAGCGCACCGGTAAAGATCCCCATCTTTGGATTTTTAAAAAGGAAACTTTTTCGGTGTCTCAAAACTCTATGCTACATCAAAACGAAGTTTTCCATGTACAAAAAGCAGCATATTGGAAATTTCAAACACATGATTGTCTTGAAATATCAACGCTGTATTCAATTATATTGTTGTTGTGGATAAAAGTATATGATGGAAGTATTAATTTTATCTAAAAAATTGAGTTTATCAAAATAATAGCACTAATGTGTATTGAGACACCAATAACACCAATCTCCTAGCCTTCGTTCAGTACAATCCGTGCCTCTAGCGTAGTGAAGGTCCCGGGAAGGTACGCAACGAACTTTGCACTATGAAAATCCAGTCAGTGCTTTACTGTTAAATTCAAGATGTGTCTATTCACTGATTCACAGACAATGCAATTCGTCCCCTGATCTGAAGTTTCTGAGTGTACAAGTATTGATCCACTCGTGCATGTCTCCGCCACTACCAGATTACCCCCGCAACACATTATGATTTGTCGGCGCAAGGAAGGTATCTCAGAATTGATCCAAGATGAACCTATCACTATGATCAGATGATGTAAAGGTTTCTTCCTTCTTTATCTATGAATTCTGGGTCATTTCCTCCTCTTGTGGTAAGTAATCAAACCGTCAGTTCTTTGTTTAGCATATGCTATAGATTCTGATAGGATTTTGAATGTCTTGATTATAGTACAGCTTTAAAGAGTACTGACAAAATTCTCATTTTTATTCTAAGAGTTCATCAAAGCAGATTGTCATTTTTGGTTATTTGTTATTGTAGAATAAAAATCATGAGACTGCAGAGATAGCAAATATTCATTTTCCTATTGACACAACAGCTTTAAAACAAGAGACTCCCAGATAAGTACACAAATGATAATCCATTCATTGGTCAGGAGTGATAAGGCTAGTTAATTTTCAATATTAGGACATGAATCACAAAATTTTTCATTTCTACCTTAAAAACTAAGACGCTGTTAGAAAAAAGAACAAAAAGCAGGTATTTGATGTATGTTGGCATAGAAACCAGCTGGAATTGTTTATTGTAACAAATCGTTATATTCTACACACTTAATCACACAAGACATTGGCAATCCATGTACACTGCAAGAGTTTTACACGTCACAAAACAGACAATAACAGTCATCCATGATATGCAAAAGTGGAAGTACATTATGAAATGCTGGCTAACATTTTACATCAAGGAGGATTGGCTCCCAGAGTGCACCACCGATATTCTGTCCCATATATGGGTATGTCGTAATACAAAATTCGAATTCAAACAGCCGCCATTTTGTTCACTTCAACATTTAAATCGTGAATTTTGGTCTTATTTCCAAACGAAAAATTCCAAAACTCACAAGAAATGATCGAGATATTGGTTCGAATCTTTTGAACTGTTTATTTTGAATTTATAGTCGGTTTTAATTTCAGAAAATAACGACATTTCGACGTTTTCATTGTTGGAAAATATCGAGTTTCGATCCTGGGAGCCAATCCTCCTTGATTTTACATGGAAAATTTGTCTAAAATGTTTCCATTTATATACATAATAGATTACACATTATTAAATGTCTTATTTTCATAGGCATATTCCACAAATATTCTCAACCATTTAGTGAGATTCAAAATCAAAACCTTGTGATTCTATAAGGGTTTTGGCATGATTGAAAAACTTTTCCTTCCTTTTAAATTTCCAACTTTTCACAAATATTACATGCTGCATTAAATCAATTATATTATACCATTTTGAAATTATCATAGAAATACTAATTATTAACAACAATCAAATGAATGTGGCATATAATAATAAAATTATATAAAACATATAACAAACATCATAAATATCTCAATATTCAATCTCCACATGTGAAAAGTTTGATCCCTGATGATACAAGAGAGGCAACCGCAATACACATCTGCCTCTAATTGGTGAAAGATTTGGCAAAGAGACACATTCATACATATATGTAGAGCTACTGCAGTGAACATAAACTAGCGGATCTTCTGTTAAGTCATCATGCAACCCCATCACAATGCATCTTCAGACCTGCCAACTCTCCTTAGTTTCAAAGCCATGAAAACCCAATCCAACCATTCCTCTGTATGACATAAGCAAGATACATACTTAAAATAATTTACACTGGTCAACAAATGATTGAGTGGTATTTTGTTTAATCATATTTACATGGTCTTAGAGCAAAAACCGTGTAAAATCAGATTGGTCCATGGGCATGTCTTTACTACCAGAATAGTTGGCAGGTCCGCTTTACTAGCATCAGGATTTGAGATCAACGCAGAAGTATTTAGATGAAGATTATAAAATATGGTTTTGAAAGCAACAAATGTTGGTCAATTGTGTAGTTACAAGCTTAGTTTACTTTCTGGCACACTGTTGCAAACTAATATTTTCAGGTTGTATTCAAATAAATCAGCATGTTATGCCATTTGGAAACTAGTTGCTTTCAAAGCCAAGAAGTAATTGAGTTGCAGAGACTACAATATAAAACATGAACATATTGGCAGCCCATAGTATTTGTCGTAAAGACAACAAATAGACAATTTATCACAATTTCCTATCGAATAGAAAAATATCTCTATTTTCAATAATTCCATGGAAAATGTTTCACAATTATGTCATCTAACGTGTACATGCGTCATCACAGATGTTCTCCCAAGTAATGATTACACTTGATGGAAACATGAAGCATGTTTTAGGCATGAAAAATCAGTCAATACCAAATTCATGTTTGACAACAATTTGTAAATAATACAGCAATAGTTCCATTCATTCATTTAGTGATTAATAATAATAATTATGTTCATGATATCTTCTATTATAACACTTAACTGTTGCTATATTACATAATTTACAACCTTGTGTACAATATTGTCTATACTGGTGCAGATTTCCCATCAGCAAAATGTATACAATAATAATAAAATTAGAAAAAGAAAACAACTCCTTGGTGGCACTGAAGTAGTCTATGTACAAGTGCAGGTGTGTAGGTAGTACCAACACAAACTGCTGGTATTCCAAGGTCTCACACTTACATCCCAGCTGGGTGCACCAACTTTATGATGTCTTTTAAGTTCATATCAAGTTTCATAGAGAAATTCTTCTACGTTATTGGGCTGTTTATTAACTGCCTCTTGGCGCTTAAGCGCTTTATTTAAGAGCCCAAACTGGGGAACTCTTCCGCGTTTTCGACATTAGGAGCCGCCTCTTTGCGACCACTTCCTCCACGGCGACCACCACCGCGGTTAAAGCCACCTCCACGCTCACGGTCTCCAAATCCTCCACGACCTCGACCACCACCACCTCCTCTGCCTCCAAACCCACGTCCTCGCTCCTCACGTCGTTCGCCACGTCCTGAACCGCCACGTCCTCCTCTTGGTCCACCACCTCCACGTCGAGGGTTGTCTGCGAATTTGATTTCAATAGGTACGGTTGTCTTGATGCGTCCACGGATCTCCTCTTCCTGAAAGATAAAACCAGAAACGATGAGATTAATCTAAGAATATCATAAGCTTTGTTAACTCAATGAATGGGAGATTCATTCCTTAAGTACAAGTAAAAGTAGGGACAATTAAAAAATTTAACCAATCCTCTTTAACATAATCCCATTTTCTCATACATGGCTTAACTGGCAATTACTGGCATGCTTTATGTTCAATGTTGACCCTAACAAAAGTACCTCATCGCTGTCTTCCTCTTCCTCATCAGATTCCTGGTACCAGTCCTTAGATTTACGGAGCACATAGGTCTTCTTCCACTGCTCATCACTACAACCTTCATTGGGCTACAACAAAGGAGAATGTAGAGGTTACAAACTTAATTAGGTTTACAAATAAAAAGAGAACATAAGATACTACACGGTTCATTGAACTTAGCCTTGCCCAAGTCGGTATTTTTTACTTATCTGATCTTTAATTATTACCGCCTTGTACAATCCAATACATCTCCGCTGTTATTATACTGAAATATTCAACGGTTTCGAGATTTCCATAATACCTACGCTATAAGGGGTATCGCGAAACTTTATTGATTGACAGATATCGCGTGGACACGACGTGTGACTTCAGGCTGAATGACCAATCAAAACGTTATCAGGTTGAGCTGCATAGACAAAACAAACTTCCCATCTACGACTTGAAATTCAATGATCTGATTGAGTGTTTCGTTAGAGTTACAATATATTATGTAATTAAATGTACATTGGAAGGTAAGAGCCATTAATATAAATTAAATCATGCGATTCAATGTTGATTTAAACTGATCTCGCGATGAAAATGCACGAAGACCTAGTCCAATGTATCGGGTCATGTTGTCGTCGATCGGTGATTGAATCTCAGCCTACATTTTCAGCGATCGTTTCAACGTTTATTGTTGAAATCTTCTCACCTTTGGTTATCCGATCGATGCCCCGGCCCCGTGCTCAGATTCAGGTTCTTGTTTTTGACCGTGCATAATAATGAGCTAACGCTACAGGGCCGTCGTTGATTGGTCAAATTTTACCGACATCAACAAACTGTCGGTAAAGCATGTGGCTTTCTCTTTGGTACAAGGCGGTCATAATAGAAATCAAGATAAGTAAAAGAGACTGACTTGGGCAAGGCTAATTGAACTTAACAAAAGGAGAACCTTGAAGATCATGACTAACATTGGGCTTCAACAAAGGAGAACATTAGACACTACAACGTTCATTAGATATTACAAAGGAGAACCCTTTGGAACACTCTAGAAGATATATTTTTATTTAGACCAGTCTTCTCTTCAGATTAAAGGCCCTATTTCTTACACTGCATTATGCAAATGATCATTAGAACACATTTTCTAAATTATGATAATATATGTGAGTTATCTACTTACCTTCCTAATTTTAAAATCTGTTTTCGTTCGAGCTCCAGCGACTTGTGCTTTGTATTCATCCAGGGTCATTTCTTTGACGGGTTCCTCTTCAGGTTCAGCGGATTCATCTCCTTCCTCTGCAGGTACGGGTTCACCGGATGTGTTTGGATCAGTTTTTTCTTCATCAACTTTTGACTCCTGGTTATCATCAGATACGTTACTTGTGTTCAATTGTTCACTGTAAAACAACATATGCTAAAAATAAACAATGGTCTAGGTTTTAAGCATCAGATTTTATGCATACAAATAAGTATAAGTATATGAAAACAGTACCTGATTAAGCAATCAAAACTAAGAGAAAAAACATGTGTATCATATGTATACACCTCCCCATAAACTCATATATGTAGTATTGCCACCCTATCATGTTATATATTATTCTGTTCCTCATGGAAAGTTACATAAGAATGCAACGTTTCAGAATCCACTGGTGTCCCTGAAAAAAGATACAAGGTATCAAAGTAAGTGGGTACAGGTCATTTTGAGGGGAATTTCTGGTCATTTCGTGGGCAATTCAAAGGGAAAATTTAGTTTCTGTATTGCACATTTCTAGCAGTTTCAATAATGGTAAAAGTTCAGCCCACACATGTATGACACCCATGGATTCTGAACCTACAATATTATGTAACTTTCCATCAAGAACAAAATGATGTACTTGTACAACATGACAGGGTAGCAACGCTCCATGTATAAGTTTATGGGGGTGCATACATATGAAACACCCTGTACATTAATATGTATGAGAGAATCTAGAATAGTGGTCGGACTCGCCTGAAAATCTCCACTCGAGTGGGCCATGAAAAACCACGATTATACTCGCGATTTGACTTAGTTGAGTTACTTCCGGTTTCAGTTTCCCAAGTAGCGGCAGAATTCATCAATTTGATCAAGTCTTTCAAGTGCCTCTATACTTTTTATTGTCTAAATCGTATTGCACATCCCTATAGATCGTTAAAGTTCACCCCTAGTCCCCTATAGATAGTAAAACTTACCGGATAAATAGTGAAAACAAACTTCGTCAATCCATAAAGTTCCAGGATGCAGCTGGAGAGACAATTCGCGAGTCAAGGTAAGGTGAAAAAGAGTGAAAAATATTTTTTTGGTAAAAATTTCAAATCGTGAGTTAAGTTTTCAACTCGATCAATTGATTTTTAGGACAAATGCGAGTAAAACTCGAGTACACGAGTCAGTCTTCCAACCACTAATCTAGAAGACACGAAAAGTACTATTTACTCCATATATTAGCACTTGAAAGTAAAATGAAATACTTTCACATTGCAATACTTTACTCTCACTAATATTTGACGCTATTTTATTTCCCCTAATTTTCAGTTTTTTGAAATTTAGTATCTATTAATTTTCATGAACCTTGATTTTTTAAAGTTAGCGAGTCCTTTTGTGGATATATTTTTTGGTGTATTTTGTCTAGGAAAGCTCCCTCTAAACTTTAACATCAGCTATGCTTATATTCTACTCACTAAAAGCTTTTGCTTCGACATAAGTCAGTTTTCAGGAAGACTCACTTAAACAATGTTCACTGAATGAATTTAAAGGTATCTCCATTCTATTGTCTAGCACTGGACCTAAATAATGTCAATACCAAGTGAGATGAATTCCCTAGAATTTAGTGAATTCAAACCATAAATGAATTTTGCAAAATATGGTAGCACACCATACAAGATAAAGCAATTCCTATTATGTAATCATTCATTCATTTACGATATCCCAACTGGCACTGAGACCATATAAACATGTGCTTTTCTTCAAAAAATCATTAAAATTTCGAAAACAGGAAATTTTGAAAACACAGTGATAAACAAGGCATTAACATGCAAATTGCCACCCCATGCCCTTTGTTATATACGCCTTTTGTTAAAGACGCCGAACTCCAAAAGCTGAATGAACACAATCCACAAAAAAAGTTGGAAACTATAACAACTTGTTTTGATGACCTAACACCCGACTCAAAAACAGAAAACCCATGAAGAGTCATGTCATCATGACTGAACAAAATAATGGAAGGCAGGGTTTAAAACAGGTTTACAACAGCGAGCATTGCTATCAATATTAATAATCAAGCTGATTAGATTTATTGGTATGAAAAGCAAATATCTAATCCTTTATTGCAATTAATATATATATGGGGGCATTAACGTTCCTAATTTCCATTATATATTTTAGTATGACTTTCTATAAGCTCTACATTAATAAAAGGAGGAAACATAGCACAAACGTTATTTGCAAATGGCTTAGGGTTAATAGTTTTAAGTACAAATTTAAATACCTGTATTGGTTAGGCAACAGCAAAGGGTTAAAGTGAGAGAATGCTATATTGTGGTGAAAAACTGGTTATGAAAACAGATCTATTTCGGTAACAAAATGTCGCAGTCTCGTAGATGCAACTTTTCCTTTTCCACCATTTCACGAGTTGAAGGCAAAATCTTCATGACCTTTTTTGGCAAAAACATGTCAACATCATGTGTTTCATAAGATTTAAGTGTTTGCGAACAAATAGTTTGTGAGAGGCCAGAATGATAAAAAACCTCACTATTGTCATGTAAACAGACTGGTTAAAAGTACAAATGTTAAGGAGTTTTTAAAGTTCCGATGACGTAACAATAATGAGGAATTATATTATAACGTGAAATATCACAAGCACTTAGATTTTCTTAAACGTATGATGTGCACACATATTTGTGCCAAAAAAGTAGTGAAGATTGAGCTACATCTCGAAAAATCATGAAAAATAGTGATTTTGAGCCTGCTCCATTTTGTCACTGAAGCAAATCCATTTTGAATTAGCATAAATGCTATAACTAAGATAAAACATTAGAAACTCAACAAACAACACAATACAATGCTCGGTTTCCAAGTTATTAATCATACTTAATCTGGGGTAAAGCAATGGTTGCCATGAAAACATGTTGTCATGTAAACCAAGATTGTCATGTAAACCAACTCAACAGACATTGCAGTCTGCAAGTATTGTTTGACACCCGTAAAATGTTAAAAGTTTTGTACTATCTAACTAAAACTGTGGGCCTACTTACTCTACTACCCCAGTATCGTCAATTGTGCCCCAATTATAAGCTCCTCCACCATCCCGTTTTTCCACAGCTTTCATTCCACTAAAAAAATATGGGTACTGATTTGGATAATTTTCATTTAAACTGGTAGGAGATGAGGACATATTGAACACAAGACAGGGATTGTAGCAGTAGGCACCACATTTCTTATTGCTACTCTATGCACACCTTTCATCAGCTGCGTCGTTGTCAAAATTTCCCCAGTTCCGTGAGCCAAATCCATCTTTCTTTTCAACAGGCTTTATACCACTGCAAAATAGCTTGTATTTTACAATGCAGCCATTGTATGACAGTGACATAACTCAAGAAGCATGCAATCAAAGGCTTCTTATCTAAAGTGATTGAGAATTTAATTCCAATGTTAAGCTTAAAATTACCTTATTCAGGTGATGTCAATATATCAATTTTAATAAAGATAGATATAAGAACTAGCACATTGCAAAGCAAGTCTCGTATTACATATAAATCAAGACTTACGTTCTGTCACTGCCACTATGTCTATCAAAGTCGCGTTTTGGGCCTCCAAATCCTCCTCGACCTCTTCCTCTGCCACGTCCACCGCGTCCTCCACGTCCAAATCCACCTCTTCCACCAGCAAAGCCACTTCGTCCACCTTCGTTGTCCACTTGTCCATCTCGGTTACCCCTGAAATATCAAAAAGAACTTAGACATGAGCTGGTTTCATTTGTGCAAATATAACTTGAATCAGAAATAACTGATTAAAAGAATTCTAGGTGACAGGAATGACAAAATATTGCTTCTGGGATGAGATCAAACGACTCTAACACATTCTTTAAGCTACCTATTTTGTAATTTAACACAAATATACATGTATCATATTTAAACAGATATCCAACAAATTCATTAAAAAATATTTTTTGATCAATAAAATCATCTTTTACTGAAGCGGAAGTATGTTCTGTAACGTCTGCGAAGAAGACGAAGATGTTTACAGATTTCAGTTATTTCAATTTTGCCGTGGATTCGATTTTAATGCTTCTTAATGATCTTCAAATGCTTATTATGGATTCTAATAGTACTGTCTTGACTTCCCCACTTCATAAAAAGAACATTATCACCATTTACATGACCCATAAATTTACTTCCAGTCAACCGAGAAAAATGAAAGTCCTTAGAACTTTTTCAAACCTCAGTCTAAACTTGGCTTTTTAAAGGGTCAAACATAGACTTTGAATGGATCTTCATGCATATTTTAAAAATAGGTTCACCAAAGAAGGTATTAGACCAGGAAATCATGTCTATAGCCAGAAGAGTGTTATTTTAAACAATTTTACCCTCTATAAATCGCAATGCTCCTACAAACAAGGCATTTACATTCAAAATTTAGCCACATGACATATGTTACAGACATCGAGCATTCAGGTCACCAACCATATAAATTAATGTTGTTGTTGAAGCATTTAAATCATTTTCTGAAAAACGAAAGCAGGAAACTAAAAATTTCATTTATACTATTCTCACTAATTGTAACATTATTAACTCTTAGTGTCCAACCATGTTTTAGTAACTTGTCAGATATATAACCCTCGGGTGAAAAAAACATGTCAATCACGATTGAACTACATGTATATATTTATTTAACCCTTTCTCGATGTTAATAAAGAAGAAAATGTTGGCCTGGTGACGTATAAGTAAGAGCGGTTTTTAGGTAAACAATGTAAACGACGCATACCCCGGGACCTATACTTTAAATTGTATCACTAAAATACAATATTTAATAAGCAAATGTCAACAACTTGTCATAATTTGGTGTTAAAATAGCCATTTCATTGATGTATGTAAATAAAAATAAAATAGTGGTGCCAAAAGGAGCCTATCGTCCTGAAGGTATTACGTAATAGGGCTCCATATCACTGCCCCCAGGATTCCGTGTTTGCAGAGCGCGGACGGAATTTGCCTTTGCCCGCGGAATTGCAGAATCAACTATTTTGGTCAATCTCCGCGGAATTTTCCGCGGAATCGATATATTTTCCAAAAGTTTGAATAGTCAGTCTTACCTGTAACAATTTCCCTAACAATTTCACACGTTTTCAGTCAAATCCCTTGTAGAAATAACCCAAAAATTACCAAATTATGCGAAGTGAAAGTTTTAAACTTCGTCATTTGATTTCTGTCGCTAGATGGCAGCATGTATTGAGTAGTGACGTAGTGACTGCCTATGTAACTATCATGAAATTTTCCCGTTTTAATTATATCTATCACGATATTTTCCGCGGAATTTCTGCAGAATTAGCCTTTTCCCCTTGCAGAATTCACTAATTTCACTTGCAGAATTTAGCATTTTAACTTGCAGAAAACTGGGGGGAGTGCCATATGGAGCCTATCGTCATGAAAGGGTTAAAATGCATATCTTGATCCATTCTACATTATTTGATTCTAGGGTTTTGTGAACTTTATAAACACAAGGGGAAAAATCTGCATTTTAGAACATAGTCTACTTAAGCAGTCTGAATAACTAAAATTTCAAGGTGAAAAGGTTTTATCTGCTGTTCTCACCTGAATTCACCTTCCTGTCGTTCTCTATCTCGTCTCTCATATCTTGGTGGTCTGTTTTCATCTCGATCATCTCTGAATCCACGGCTAAATCCACGATTTTCAGTATTATTGTCCTTATTAAACCTTACTTGTCTATCTCCTCCACGGTCATCTTGCTGTTGCTGTTGGTTCCTTCTCCTTGGGGGCTGATTTTCCCTTGGTGCTCTTTCTGGAAAAGATAATGTTTCCTTGTAAAATATCTGTGGCAGCTTCACATGATTTTATTTCACAAGTTCACAACATTTGTTCAACTTCTGATAGAAAACTGATAGAAAACTTCTGATAGAAAAATGTCATTCATGTACATTATGAATATACTTTTCCATATATTATTGCACAATGGTCTCCCAATTTCTTATTTTTGCCGTTCTACTGATGAAATGAAGCAGTGAAATGGACTCTAGGCTTTCATTGAAATGTGTGTTCTTAGATCTAGACTGGAAGTAAGGCTCCCAATCTTTAGGTAACTCTTATATTTCAAGTTCTAGCAATGCAGTCAGGCCATGAAGGAAGTAGCCTAGCATGAAAAAAATATCCAAATAAGAACAAGGAACATCAAAGAACAGCATATTTTTTGTGGACCTCGATAAACTGTAGGCATCAAACTAGTTTCATAATTAAAATGAAATGATTGTTAGGAAAGAAAATATGGAAATGTACGACATAAAGTCTCAGAGGGCACTTGTCAAGAAGAAACATGTGCATGATTGAAATTGGAAGACATAAAACTTCATTCATTTACATTTTTCCTCGTGGACATGCGTTTACTAGAAAAATATATTTGCTTTATTACCTTCCTTTTTGGGTGCACTTTCTTCTATTTGTTTTGACTTCAATTCGGCTTCAGGAGCCTTGATTTTCTTGTTCTGTTTATTTTTTGCAGACTTGGCCGACTTGTCAGATTTGGTATTTTTAGTGTTCTTAGCATTCTCTTTTGCCTGCTTCTTTTCCAGTTCTATATTTCTTAAAGCTTCATAGGGATCATCATCCTCTATGACAAGTTCAAATTTATTCGATACTTCAACACAGTAATTCATTTTCCCCGAATTGCCGAGGATTCCAATGGATTTCACCCAAAACGTCGAAGAATTTCTCTAAATATTCAATATGGCGTGTCCGCTTCCCATTGCATGCTGGGTAAATGAAGGATTGGAGGACAACACGCGAGGAAATACTGTTCCCGGGAATAAGACAAGTGTAGCAAACACCCGGGAGTTTCACTGAAATATACCAATGTGCCGCCCCCGCCCCCTCCCCCTTTGAGCATTTTTTCCATGTCAATTTCCTCTAAAGATTGAAGGTTTCCATGTTAAATTCCTCTGAGACTTAAAATTGACTAAAAAATCGACTTACTGATTTGTTCCAGGCCTCAGCAACTGATTTAACAAGTTTAATACAATTTTTTGTGGAAAACTAAATTTTGACTAAAAGCCAGTAAAAGGGGTACTTTATTAGGCAATTTTCCATGTTTTTTACCCCGTTTTTATCCTCTCAGATTGGCCAATTTTCATGTTTAATGCTCAAAGCCAAAATAGGCCGTGCTGCACAATGCACATGATCACATGATACCTACCCAAATTAGTTAGAGTGAACCCCCCGGGAGGAAACAGTTATTGACTGATGGCCCACACTATTAAACGTGATGAACAGTCCTTTTCATACCATTGATTATTTTTATTTGATTCAAACTAGTCACGGTTTTGCCAGGGTAGTTTCGTTATATCCATGTATATCCTCCATGCTTTTCAAAATGACAATATCAGGTGAATCTAATTTGACATTTCTCTTTACACATCTGTCAGGTGAGACCGTGAGATAGACGTATACTATGCAAAGTGTAGGTGAAATGTTTCTCATATTCATTTATCTTGTTGAATCTTGCGTATTGCGCATATATGCCAAATAATAGTTTAAGTCGCGAGTATTATATTCTTTGTGACCTTACCTTCCCATATAAGGTAATTGCGCAAAATAAAATAAAACGGGAATATACATTCCAACATAACACTGTAGCCAATAAGCATACAATATTCCCTTTGTTTCACATATTTCGCAAAAACAACATTACAATGGAAAATCTTGAAAATAGCAAAGGCAGATTGTTTACCTTTCGAATATACATTACCCACAATTCCTTGTAATAATTGCGCGAAAATTTGTTTGGAGGGAACGACAGTTCAGAAAACACAACAATGGCATATCCAACTTCAATCCTGTTTTCTTCCCCTAAACGGGCAGATCGCCTTGGATCAACTGGGGATAGTCTTCCCGGAAGTCCCCCGATCCGAGATATCATGATGCTACCATGGAATTGGGCTGGAGGAGCGCAAAAAATTCAACTCAGCCCAAGTGGATCATTGAGTTCAGTTGGCTCTCCAACAACACCAGTGGAGCTTCGGAGAGGACGGCCAAGATCAGAGACTATCAAGTCACTGATTGTAGAGGGATCTTCTTCGCCGAACGTTATAAAGTGTCAATTATGTAACAGAGTTTTTCCGAGAGAGAAGTCTCTTCAAGCCCATCTTCGGACACATACAGGTATTTAATTTTTAAAGGATTTCATTGGAAATGCGCCATTTTTAAACCGCTCAAATTCAAGAGGGAACCAATATAAAAAAAATATTAAAAAGAATACTATAGTCTATTCTATTTTCCCCCAGCCTGTGGACAAGCCATTATACATGTAGTTACAATTGCAGTTAATATGTCATCTGTTCTACACTGTGTCAAAATTGTGTATGAACCGTTCAAATAGTCTATGTTTATCCCATAGGCCAAGGGTAAAGTAATAGTAAGCTGTATATTCTCTTCTATATACAGCTTACTATTACTTTACCCTTGGCCTACGGTTTATCCCGTGCCAGGACTACATGTATATACATGTAGTCCTGGGATGGGATAAGTCTATGTTTCTGTTGGCATGAAATGAAAAAACTCCGGGAACGGGATAACCGTAATCAACTTGAGCTTATTTTCTGAAAGGTTAGACTAATGTCATAGACTAGGCTAAATTGAATATCAAAGATTATCACCATGAAAATCCTAAAATTGGATAAGGTGAGGTATATCTTCTATTCTTATGATTCTTTCAGGAGAACGACCATACAAATGTGATTATCCAGCATGTGGGCGTGCCTTTTGTCAGAGTGGTCAACTGAAGACACATCAAAGACTTCATACAGGAGAAAAACCATTTATATGTTCAGTTGAAGGTTAGTTATTCCAGTAAAATCTTTAACTTTCAAGTTCTGTTTTTGTACATAAGAGAATAAAATTTGTGCTAATAGCCTAATGTTAGCAAAAATGTATAACAGTGATCTGTCTGAATGTTTTATACATAAATGAAACCTAATGAAATTAAAGAAACAAACTACCATGTACTTAATTATATGTTTCATTGCTACAGGTTGCACCAGTAAGTTTGCGCATGCTAACAGACACTGTGCATCTCATCCATTCAAGCCATTAAAACGAGCAGAACAAAATGAAAACCTCATATCAAATATACCTGTGAATGCCAAGAAAGAAGAAGTCATTCAATGGCTAGAGAGGTATAATAACAGTGTTGCATAATCTGTGATGTGTCTGATATATATTTGTACGTGATGCCATATGCAAGCATACTAATTAATACTGGAGATACACTTATTTTGACGCTACTTAATTTGATGGATTTGCTCAATTTCAAATATTGGAGGTTATTTAATTTGGCAGATTCAGGACTGAAGTTTAATTTGTAGATGTTTATGTCATTAGGACAGGTGTTTACTAAGATATTTTCTGTATTTCTTTTGGAATAATGTAGAATTGATGACACAGAGACAGAAAAAGGGGCCCCTGGAGTTTAATTTCTGAAGTGCAGTAGACAAAAATTCCAAACTGAAATCTGTCAAATTAAAATGGGAGCCAAATTAGTGTATCTACAGTACTATAGAGTTTGATATAAACCAAATAAATAATTTTACTTGGCTTAACCTAAGTAGCACTCTGAATCATTGTGTCAAAGCTGTACATATAAACTTATGAAAAATTCCTCTATTTTCACATTTATTTTGTACAAATATTTTCTAACCTATCCCAAACAATCACAAAATCTAACGCTTTAAACTCTCCCCTATTTAAATCTAATTTTTTAATTCCAGGCAAGCTGAAAAAGAGAAAACTCCTTTAAAGGCTACGAGAGACAAACATTTAAAGCCGAAACAAAGGCAACTAAAACGTGAGCTAGATGCTGAGACATTGAGTGTTGAGCACAAGACAAAGCGACAGGCCTTAGGCGATGTGAACATTCTAGAAGTTACGGAGCGTAGACTTAATGATGCAAATGATAAATGGTTAGGGGCTATGGCATTAATGGAACTTGCTGGAAACCCTTTGAAATAATCCACAGATGTTCACAAGCTCCGGTGATTTAAATGGGCTTAATCCGCAAAGAATAACCTTATATAGTCATTGAGTATACATATACTTGCATCACCACACATACATTCATACTTTACATTGTAATCATGTCTCAAATCATCTCTTGTATCCTATTGAATATGGACAAGATTATGTTCTCACATTTTAGTCACTACTCATCCCACATTTAATATTTGTAAATATCAGTGAATATATTGTATATACTTTTTGTATGTAATTTTAGTTGATCAACATGTATTGCATGTCCATCAGTCTGTCAGTGCTTTACTCTTCTGCATGTACATGCCTTATTTTATTTCATCTTGTATTGCCAAGCAGTTAAGCCAAAAGAACAAACATTTTAAATGTTAAACAGTTAAATGACAGCACAAAACATCCAATTTGTTAAGAATTTTTTTTATTATTTGTGGTGTAGAGTGAATGTATACAGCAATCGTACACATTTGCTTACTAATATTGAGGCACTCAATATGTTGTTGTTTACATTGTGCCTGTACCTTTTACTGGTGTGCTATGCTATTTATGAATTAACTTAACAATTTTAATCGGCCATATTCGATGTAATTTATGCCAAAGACAAGTTTCAAAATATATATATATTTTCTATAAAACCTTACTTTCATTTAGTGTTCATTATTTACTACTTGATTCAGAAACATAAGGACAAATCATGATTAGTTCAATCAATCGTTTCTCAGTTTCTAAAACTGAAAACATCTAGAGAGGACCAACTTTTGTTTGACTTATTTTATCCATTCATAAAAATGTGATTCAGAACCTATATTAAAATTATATTCTCAAAAGGATCTAAAGGGAGTATCGGAGTGTATAAGGGATTTAAGACCTACTGGTAATTTTAAATGCATTTCCATGGTGAGGTGACACAATTGTTATATTTACGTTATGGAGCAAAGATCAAGACAACAACAACTTTAAAGGCCTACATTTGATTTCTTTTTTATTAGACATTCAACATTATTTAGTTCATCTCCAGGACACATAGTGACAACTTTACGTTTAAAGTTTTATCAAGTTAAACTGCACTACCTCATTTGAGTTTCAGTTTAAACAAGTTCTTTTGCAAAAAAAATTTGAAGTGTTTTTTTCAGTATCTCAACTTGGTGCATGTCTACTCCTTTGGTCTCCATTCTATTTCCCAGTGTTAACTTAATAACATCGGTGTCATTACATGATCCATTGTATTGTTTCTGAACTCTCTAGTTTACAATGTACAGATATTAAAGAGTCTGGCGCCACTGAAGGTCATAATTCATAGTCATCAGGGTGATACAGTTCACTTAAAAGCCTATATACATATGATGGTGCATTTCCGCCACTGAAATAAATAAAAAAAAGTAAATATAAATTCATGGAAATACAACTAACTGAATGGATGGATAACTAGATGATAAAACTGGCTTTTGTCTGAGCCAGAATACTATTTATAATATGGAGACATCTGACAAAAGTACCGTAATTTCCATTTAAGTGTATTAAAAAAATTAATGGGTGAATACACAGGCCACTGCACATTAAAAGCATGTATAACTGCATATTATGCTTTGATAAAGAAAATATGATAGAAACTTAGCATAGGAAGAACTGTAAATTATTTTTCATTCTTAATTTATACATATCCAAGAAATAGGCCAGCTAGAAGTTTGAAATGTTTGCTAGGAATATGCATTTTACAATAGTTCATGATATTCCTGAGTGTTCTGACCCGACCAGAAATTGGTAAATAGTTGTTTGTGACCAGACCCATGCCTTCCAACCTGAGATTTGGGTCGGTGTGACACCTCTACTAATAGATAGCTCCTTAATAACATATGAATTGTACTTACATATTTGAAATATACAAGGTGACCAGATCTGGAGGTACATAGTCAAACAGTGGGTTCTGTATCTGTGTTTTGGATAAGATCTCTCCTTCAGAAAACTTGAGCACATTGTGCGGACTCACAAACTTGTTAAATGAATCCTGAAATGGAATCAAAGATAATGACTGGCAACTTCACCGAGCAGTAAATTCAAACAAATTAATATAATCATAAATATATAGCATAAATGTAAAAAACAATTTCATGTACATGTATTTACTCTTTACAAACAGATATGATTTCTAACCCCCTGGGTCCCTAATAACATAATAACAATATGACTTATGCTAGGCCTACTATGCTTTTATTTCAAATCAATAAAAGCTCTATGCAATCAGAGTTATTAAATGTGTCCTACAGTGTATGTACTGAGGTGAACTAAATACACACATAGATACTACATACTAAGGTGGCTTGAATACCTCATATTAACCGTTAACAGAACAGAGGTTTTGAGGTGAACTAAATACTTCATATTAACAGAGGTTATAGGTTGACCTTAATATTTCATGGACAGAACTTCTAAAACCAGAACAGTGGCAACGCCAAAGCGAGCGAATCCCATCGAACAGAAATGGCTGGCATTTTTACAAACGAAATATATAGCAAATATCATAAAACAACACACCAGAAAGGCAACCATTTTCAAATTGGTTAGCCAAGTTGTCATCAAAAGAAATAATATGCTTTTAGTAGCCACCTATAAAAATGGTGGCCATTTTTCAAAATGGCCGACTACTCCCCAAAGTTTTATTAGACAATGTGCCATGCTTAGAGTATTCACATATCAAATATGAACAAAATCGCTCCACTACTTTTCGAGTTATAGTAAAAAATGTAAAAATGACAGCCATTTTTTAAAATGGTCGCTTTCTATCCGAAGTGTCATGAGACAGTGTGCCATGCTTATAGTATTCACATATAAAATATGAACAAAATCGCTTCACTACTTTTCAAGTTATAGTAAAAAACTTAAAAATGATGGTCATTTTTCAAAATGGCCGCCTACTACCCAAAGTGTCATTAGACAGTGTGCCATGCTTATTATTATTTTTTAATATCTACATTTGTAGCTTTATTAATGTCCTTTATAATTTTTTTACACTTAAAACATATTGCTATTACAGTTTTACATATTGTACCTAAATTACTGTAAAATCGGCACTAAAATGGCCGCCATTTTGAAATGAGCGGCCATTTTGAAAATTGGCTTTCGAGCAGAACTTCTACTCCCATAAGGTATATGTATACAAAATATGAACAAAATCGGGCCAACGGTATTTGAGTTATTGCCCGGACGGACGGACAGACGGACAGACGGACGGACGGACGGAGGCGTTCCCTATATCCCTCCGAACTTCGTTCGATGGGATAATAAACAGGTGCTGAGATAAAATAAATACTAATCTCATATGAACAGAAGTACTAAGAGATGAACTAAATACTTGAGCTGTACTAAATACTTACCTCATATAAACAGAGGTTCTGAGGTAAGCTAAATACTCACCCCACATGAACAGAGGTATGGAGATGAACTAAATACTTGCCTCTGAGGTACTAAGGTGAACTAAATACTCACCCCATATGAACAGAGGTATGGAGATGAACTAAATACTTGCCTCTGAGGTACTAAGGTGAACTAAATACTCACCCCATATGAACAGAGGTATGGAGGTGAACTAACCCCCCTATCACACCAAACTAGTTCTTACCCGTTCTTGCCAGTCCTACGAAAATGTCGTAAAACGGGCTCAATCTGGCTGTGGTCGGGAAATATGTCTAAAATAATTAGCTACTTCGTTTATAAACAGTCTTCAATATGTCCATCTCGTTCGCAGTTCGTTCAGGTCGCACCATGTCGGTGTTCAGCGGCGTATAACACGTCCCTTAGTCTAGAAGGTCATCATGACCTGATAACAGAACGGTATGGTCGCCATCGAATTTTGAATCGATTCAAAATTCTAAATCACATTCCCCATCCGGGAAAAACCATGAAGTTCGTAAATAGACCTTAGAAAGTTGCAGCTATGTTCATTCCGTTCGCACAGAGTTTAAAACCAGTTTTGAAGAATGCAGTGGCAACTTGTTTGGTGTGATAGTCTTAAATACGTTCTTAATCAGTTTAAACCCGTTTGCAATTAGTTCAACCTCGTTCTCAATACGTCCTCAGACAGTTCAACTTGTTAAAACGTCCCTAGTAGGATTCAAGTACGACGGTTCCGTTCGTAGTACGTCCAGCTCGTCGTTAGTACGTTGTCACTCGTTCTAATTGAAGAACGTATCGACCACGAGAACATTTTGAGCATGTTCTAAGTTCTAGAGGACCTACCCATTCGAGTATGTTCGACGAAGTTTGTAAATAGACCCCAAACGGTTCTTAATATGTCCAGTCCGTTCGTACACAGTTGAAGCCTGTTTTCGAGAACGTAGTGAGAACTAGTTTGGTGTGATAGTAGGCTAAATACTTGCCTCGGAGGTACTGAGGTAGACTATACACCCACCCTGTATGAACAGAGGTACTGAGGTTTACTTAATACTCACCTCATATGAACAGAGGTACTGAGGTTAACTTAATACTCACCTCATATGAACAGAGGTACTGAGGTTAACTTAATACTCACCTCATATGAACAGAGGTACTGAGGTTAACTTAATACTCACCTAATATGAACAGAGGTACTGAGGTTAACTTAATACTCACCTCATATGAACAGAGGTATGGAGGTGAACTAAATACTCACCTCATATGAGCAGAGGTACTGAGGTTAACTTAATACTCACCTCATATGAACAGAGGTATGGAGGTGAGCTTAATACTTACCTCATATGAACAGAGGTACTGAGGTTAACTTAATACTCACCTCATATGAACAGAGGTATGGAAGTGAGCTTAATACTTACCTCATATGAACAGAGGTACTGAGGTGACTGCTTGAACATGGCGGCACACACTATCAGCTGAAATTGAAATGTGTCTTTATTTAACTAAAACAAAGACAATATTTAGTCATCGTATTTTAAAATATAGACTTGATTATAACAAGGCACAGATGTGAACAATATCGTCCCTAAAACACAGCATTGTGGTCTTGTTGACCAAGAAAGCAAGATGGCCGCAGAAAAGTTAATCAGCTCTAGAACTTATCACTGTGTAACATTTGAACGGTTTGGCTGGAAACCTGTAGACAAGTCTTGAAAGTGAAGATTTTAGGACGGAAAATCCAAAATGGCCACCTTAAAATTTACCCAGAATGCCCAAAAACCAATCAGTTCTTGACGTTGATATGTAGAAACATCCCTGAAAATTTCAGATGAATCCCTCAAATGGTTTGGCTGAAAATCTGTAGACAAGTCTTGAAAGTGAAGATTTTAGGACAGAAATCCTAAATGGCCACCTTAAAATTTAACCAGAATACCCAAAAACTAATCAGTTCTTGACGTTGATATGTAGAAACATCCCTGAAAATTTCAGATGAATCCCTCAAAAGGTTTGGCTGGAAACCTGTAGACAAGTCTTGAAAGTAAAGATTTTAGGACGAAAAATCCAAAATGGCCACCTTAAAATTTACCCAGAATGCTCAAAAACTTAACAGTTCTTGACATTGATATGTAGAAACATCCCTGAAAATTTCAGATGAATCCCTCAAATAATATGGCTGAAAACCTGTAGACAAGTCTTGAAAGTGAAGATTTTAGGACGGAAAATCCAAAATGGCCACCTTAAAATTTACCCAGAATGCCCAAAAACTAATCAGTTCTTGACGTTGATATGTAGAAACATCCCTGAAAATTTCAGATGAATCCTTCAAATGGTTTGGCTGGAAACCTGTAGACAAGTCTTGAAAGTGAAGATTTTAGGACGGAAAATCCAAAATGGCCACCTTAAGATTTACCCAGAATGCCCAAAAACTAATCAGTTCTTGACGTTGATATGTAGAAACATCCCTGAAAATTTCAGATGAATCCCTCAAATGGTTTGGCTGGAAACCTGTAGACAAGTCTTGAAAGTGAAGATTTTAGGATGGAAAATCCAAAATGGCCACCTTAAGATTTACCCAGAATGCCCAAAAACTAATCAGTTCTTGATGTTGATATGTAGAAACATCCCTGAAAATTTCAGATGAATCCCTCAAATGGTTTGGCTGGAAACCTGTAGACAAGCTGAAAAGTGAGACGCCGCCCGCCCGCCCGCCCGCCCGCCAAGCTGACTACAATATCGTACCTTTTGTTAGGTACGATAAAAATCATGACGATTCTGTGAAATATTTGGAATCATATTGAATGAATATTATTAAAAACATGCAAATACAATTTCTTCCTTTTGTATTAATGTAATGTCTTTTATTGACTCTGATGCCATTAGAATGACATCGGTCACTACAGAATTTAGAACTTTTAAATAAAATATTACTTCAAATGAGTAAGCTCTATGTGATTAATTGGAATATGTCAACTTTAAAATTATTATAATCTCAAAATTGAAAAATGTTTTTTTAAATTATGATGTTTCGCACTATTTAAATAGCATAACAAGCTCTCACATTGTAAATACTGTAGAACTTTATTTGGAATGTATCTTATGATATCAATTGGACAACCACAACTGAGAATCATGTTGGGGACTTCCGAAAATTAGACGCTCCTACCCCATGACGATGGAATATTTCTACCTACCGGTACAGAATAATGTTTTGCAGCTAGTGCTATTGCATGACTTCCATTTGTAGCTTTCAATCTAAAAGCACACAAGCAAATGCAAATTTACAGTAGAGTACAGTGTCTCTGTTATCATTAAGTTGGTAGAGTTTAGATTAAAATGTGCATGAATTGTTGACAGACAAATAAATGTAGGGGCAGTCAGACTACACTTGACCCACTGTAAATAACAAAAAAAGGTCCAGTACCTCGACATATAGAATTAATTCTCAAATTAATTCTTCAAGATCGATTGTGAGAAGATACACACACACACACAAGTGATGAGGCTGGTGGACTTACTATAAATGAAGTTATTTCTGAAACATGGTCCTTAACTTTTCAAAAATGTCACAACACACGTTTTGTTAAAAATAGGGATGGTGGGCAGTCATAGGGTGAAAAGGGGAACTATTACAAACTTCATTTCCTGACACCTAAGGGTTGAAACTTCATTTCCTGACATTTCCTGGTTGAAAATTTCAAATGGTAAAACTACGAATATGATCAGGCTCTTCCTTTTTGTTTAATTAAATTAGTCTCTTGGCACCTGAGCAACACGTCAATAATCTATTTTAAGAAAGTATATCCTTGCTCAGATTTCTATTATCTAACTTGTAAAAGTGCACATGGTCATCCTCATGTGCACTTTTGAAAATGATCTTTATTGTATGTATGTATGTATTCTTTATTTGCGTCTATTCATTTAGACAGTTACATGGTATACAATGATATAAGGTAAAAGAAAAGAGTAATATAAAAGTTACAGGTACAAAAAGTTAAAATGCCTTAACATAGTCTCCCTGGCTTTATGCATAGAGTGAATGTTAATCAAAACAGAACAGAGAGAATCAAGGCTCTCCGGGCCCAAACTCAAATGATTTATACCAAAAATGAAGCTCAACTTTTCATTAATTGGTTGGTATGGTTGAAAGGCCAATTTGCTTATTATTTAGAATGCATTGTTCATATGCAATTCACATTAAAATATGACAAGAAAATATATCTTTTAGCCCCATGGTTTTATTCAGGAATTATTCATATCAATTTTGAGTGTGTCTTAATAACCTCTCAACTTTAGTTTAAGTATCCTCATGCAAACTACAATACTTTGTTACTTTTGCCTAAAAAATGAGGCACTAAATATTTCTTGTAGATTCAAAGTATGGGAACACTTACCCTCCATCAGCCATAACAGTATGTGTTCCAATTATGACCTTGTTGACTCGGGACATCATTGCAAACACTGCAGAGTCTGTGATAACTGTAGTCTCTATACCAGCAGCTGCTAAACTATTGGCTAGTTCATGTCCCTGAAGTTAGAGATATAATTTGTTATCTTTTAATTAATCTCACTGAAGTTAGAAATATATAGAGGTTATTTAATGGTAGGTTTTTGATACAGGGTATATCTGAGGGAAATACATTATATCTAATATATTGATATATTGTATTTACCGAGGGATACCGAACAAAATTCCCGGGGATTGCTGATAAGCGAGTGATATATATATCTTCCACTCACCTCAGCGGGAGATATACAGAATATCACATCATTTTGAGTGATATCATTTTTATCGCCGAGTTGATATCAAATATCAACACGAGTGAGCGAAGCGAATGAGTGTTGATATTTGATCTCTACGAGGCGATAAAATGATATCACGAGAAATTATGTGATATTGGGTTTATCCCATGATTACAATCACCTTGTGATGTTCTGATCCAATTTCCAGGACACTGGCAGACCTATTTTCTCAAAAGAGAGTAAATTATCTGACCTAATTTCCAACAATATTGTGGCGCGAAATGCAAATGTGATATCACACGGATATGCGTGAGATAAACGATATCACACGCATATGAGTTTGATAAACGATTTTTCTGGAAAATATCACACGGATTTCAATAATATCAGAAATATCTATAGCTGTTATTGTACAGATAACACATTAATCGTGGGATAAAACAGTATATCACCCGCTCACCTCAGATATATATTATATTCCCGCATGTTATTTACCTATAACACAAAATTTGTTATTTGTTAGTTCACCTCCCTGAAGTAAGATATATAATTTGTTAGCATACCAGCACATTAAGAACTAGAAAAACAGCAACTCCACGGAGTAGCAAATCCCACCAAACAAAACATATTATGCTTATTATAGCTAGTGTAAATGTTGAAATGTTTGTGCACTTTGTGATAGAAGCATGAAATTTGGCACAAAGTTAGTTTATACCATTGTGAACTAGGCATCATCATATAAAATTTGAACCAAATCCGTTCACTGGTATATGTGTTATCAAAGATTACGTTTTTTACGAAAATTGGCCGCCATCTTGAAATTCAGCCGCCATCTTGAAAATTATTTGTTGAACATAGCTACTGTGTCCCTAAGCATCATCATATAAAATTTGAACCAAATCCGTTCACTGGTATTTGAGTTATCAAAGATTACATATTTTTACGAAAAATGGCCGCCATTTTGAAATTAAGTGGCCATCTTGAAAATCTATTTTTGTGCGAAACTACTTAGTCCCTAGGCATCAGCATATAAAGTTTGAACCAAATCCGTCAACTTGTATTTGAGTTATCAACGATTACATTTTTTACGAAAAATGGCGGCCATTTTGAATTGAGCGGCCATATTGAAAATTCCTTCTCGAGCAGAGGTCCTTCACTCATAAGGCTCATAAGGCATAAGCCTATTAAATATGAACCAAATACGTCAACCGGTATTGGAGTTATCTCCCGGACACACGGACAAAGGAACGGACGTCATTTGTTGTTGCTGCATTGGTTTCTTCATTCATTTTCTTCTTTCTTTGTCTTGATTTGATTGCGATGTTAGTTATCTTCCTTCAGGGTCCACAGACTTGAGACTGCGCATAGGTGGGTTGGATTGACGGACGAACAGACGGCTTCTCTATATCCCCCTCGAACTTCGTTCGGTGGGATAATGAATTAGATACCAGATATTGTAGAAATAACCAGGCACTTGTACTTATCAAGCCCGGTGATCGTGAAAATGGGACGGAGGGGGGAGCAAGCAATTTCCGCTAGAAAATTCAACAAATCTGGTAAAATTATTTTTTCAAGACAGAGTTTACGATTGAATTGCAAATTGAATAAGCGCACGGTATGATAAAATATGTTAGGTATTCTAGGATTATTTTTCAACCGATTCTCTTTTAAGATATAAGATCTATTAAAAAAGGCGCAACGCAACCAACGTGCAAAAGTCAAACTTTTTGCTATAAATCAAGCAACAATGAACTACACGACCTGTAATAAATACTTGTAAGTGATGTTATCATAACTAGATTAATGTCATTGCTGAATTTATAAAATAAGTTTCCATACGTAAAATAATCGAAAATAATTAAAATGGGATGGAGGGGGGGGACGGAGGGGGGGAGTAATAATTCTATAAAGTGAAACAACTTCACACGAATTCTTGTATTTGAAAAATGAACTCATTAACTTAGTAAGAAACTGGATGATATACCCCTGGAGACTGAAAAATGGGGACATTTGGAGTAAAAGGACTTAAAGTCGCGAAACATCTCTAATCATGTCTTACATACATATTGCTCCCCCCCTCCGTCCCCTCCCCCCCCCCTCCGTCCCAAATTCATTATTTTCGATTATTTTTTATTTCACATATGGAAACTTATTTTATAAATTCAGCAATGACATTAATTTAGTTATGATAACATCACTTACAAGTATTTATTACAGGTCGTCCAGACCATTGTTGCTTGATTTATAGCAAAAACGTTGATTTGTGCCTGTTGATGGCCTTGCGCCTTTTTTAATAGATCTCATACCTTAGATGCGTATCGTTTCAGAAAAAATCCCAGAAAACCTAACATATTCTACCATACCGTGCGCCTATCTATTTAGCAATTCAATAGTAAACTTTTTCTTGAAAAAATAAATCTTCCAGATTTGTTGAATTTCCTAGCAGAAATTGCCTGCTCCCCCCTCCTTTCCATATTCACGATCACCGGGCGTGCTTATGTACTAGAATAGTATATCTCCTTTTGGCAAACCTACAGTGGTGATGACATAAATAGATACATTTAATAATATGTATACTCATTTGAAAGTTTCGTGACAGTCAGTATTTTTAAAGTTTTTGCAAATAAGTAAATTGTAAGAATTATTACAGATACTGATCCAAAAAACAAATGCAAATGCCAATGATCCATTAGAAATGAAATGGAGTCTAATCACGACTCTACTGTAATTGGAGAACACATGTGACGCAGACCAGAGCTATATAATATTAGAAAATGTTGCAATAAGAGAAAGTTTCAAAGCAGCAACAAATACACTGCTTCGTAAATAAATGTATTCATAAAATTGAGGAAAGAATTCTACAAAAGGATGTCAGCAATTGATACAGTCAGTGTGTCTCTGAGTATACTTGGAATAATCATTGTAATCGTCAATTCTACAATTGCTATCATAATCTTTAAATCCTCAAAATTTAGACGTAATAATGTTGATATCATCATTGGTAAGTACTATTTACTTTTACAATATTTAAGGCAAACATACTTTAATCTTTTACGTATCATTTTAATTTTTATATCAATATTGCTCTAACCACAGAAATCATACAGATAAAAACATAAATTCCAAAGAGTAGTAAATCCCACCGAAAATCTTTTTTTTATCAAATCATTTTGAAGACAACACGGCGTGAACTTTGTGTAGTTGGATAATTAGAGAAAAAGAAATTAGATTCACAAAAAATAATAATTAAATTGGATTTGTTGTCTGATTGAGCAAATTTGGTGATATGAAAAATTCTTTAATATACATCTTCGTCAAAATATTATACTAATCCTGGGAATCTATCATTTCGTAATGCAGTATAATATTCCATTTTTTACAATAGCATCACAGTACTAAACTGTTTAACTGGGTTAAGGAACAATTGTGAAAATGATTGCTTTTCCATGAGCATCAGATTTTCTCAACTTTTGTCTTTTGTATGATCATTAGATTGTTTACAGTGAAGAATTCCAATACTAACCTGTATTATTTGTTTGGAGCTTTCCTACCAAATTCCTTATTTTTACTCCCTAAAATCTTATACCGTTTTTGAACAGGGATCTGGGTTCTAAGATTGACAGATCCTACTGGATGTACATGTAGCAAGGTCAAAGGTCAAATGAGACAAATTCCCCGCCATTTTTTTCAGAAGCAAATGCTGATGAAGGGACCAGTCGTATCCCGAAAACTCCAAACAAATAATACAGGTTAATCTTGAGGAATCCTTCACTGTAAACAATATAATTACTAACTAATGAACATTTTCAGAACTATCATTAGATAGATTGATTAGAATTATTCAATCAATATTGATCACTTGTGAGGTTTGCATAGCATAGCATTATATCAGATGTCATATACAGTCGATGTGGCCAATATCACACCATATGAGATAAATATTAATAAAAACAAATTAAACATTGCATAGGTTACTTGAGAACACAGAATTAAGTGTGATCAGTCGAGATTAGTTCTAATTAATTTAACCTATAGCCTCTGTCTATAAACATGCTTTAACACATAGTCTAATAGGTTAAACAATATACTAGATGCGAGTAGAAATAATCTTGATTTACGTCATTAAATATTCAAAATTCGGTTTAAGTGATATCATATTTGAAATCTACATGTAAAAGTACATCTAAAAATATGGTTTCCAAAATTGTTTATCAACTTTGAAAATTTAATATTTTTTGAAAATGTGACTTCTAGTTCGGGTTGATTCCCCATAGACCCCATGTTACAAAATCACAAAAAGTGAAATATCTTTTATTTTATTGCATTGGACAGGTAACATTTTACTTTACTGGACATATTTTGATTTGCATAACTATTAGATAAGTAAGTATGAAAATTGAACCACTGAAACAGATGTAATTTAAGTTAAAGGGGACTTTCTACTATACCCGCCATGCTATCTGACCCGAACGAGCCACCTGGTGGTGAAACTGGTAACTACCTACTCGCATCTGCGTTATTGATGGAGGTGTATGAATGTTATATCAAAACAATGCTTTCTTTTCAGGAAATATTGCAGTTGCTGACATGATTGTTGGACTGTCAACCATAGGCGATTCTATGTTAGCATTCATGGGCTGGACTTCAATGTATTCATGCGCGACAGTATACAGCTTCATAGCTCTTTCATGTACCACATCAGTAAGCTTGCTAGCAGCACTCGCTACGAACCAATGTTACGCAATTGCCTATCCTATCCATCACAGAAAATGTTTTAAAGTGGAAAAAATATGCCTGGTAATTGGGGTTATATGGTTGACCTGTGGATTAGTAAATGTGATTGCCTTAATATGTAATATTACGTCAAAGAAGGAACAAATCTTTCCAAAAGAAGGTTGTTTGATTAGCCTATCATTCGACAAAGATTATGTTTTGTGTTTTTGTACATTCCTTATGTTATCATTATTGTACATCGTACTCACATACACAAAAATCATTGCAACTGTTAAACGCCAGGCTCACATAATTCCAGGTGACATTGGAATAAACAGGGAAGTAAAGAGCATGAAACATGAACAAACTCTGCGACTAACAAGAAAATTGATTGGAGTCATATTACTATTTTTAATTTGTTGGACGCCATTTACAATAGCTGCCCTAATATGGGGTACATGTTCTGAGGTTTATACTAGAAGATTGATTGAAATTCCAAGTTGTGTAATTGAACAAACATTTACTATTACTGCAGGTATAGCCCTCACACACTCATGTATGAATTTCCTATTCTACATCTGTACATTCAAGAAATTTAGAGAGGCTCTTTGTAAGGGATGGTGTTGTCATAGAAACCAAAATGGTACAAATGGTAATATTTAGGGTTTAGACAGACTTTAATTGGTCAGCTGTCGTCAGCTGACATCAGCTGACATGTTTTGGCACAAATAAAAGCCAATTATTCATTGTTATGCTAAACTAATTAGTATGTAATTCATATTTCAGTATACATGTATTGTACTCTATTATATATAAAATAATAGCTTTGTTTAACACTGAAATATATATGTGGACCTAAATATTGATTTGCCTTTTTATTCACTTATTGTTAATATTAAGCGAAGTCTTAGGATAAAAATTTATTATTGTTATATTAAGCGAAGTCTTAGGATAAAAATGTAAAATGTATGAAAATCTGATTGACTTGGTTTGATTGTATACTACTGTTTCTCTCTAAAACTGTAGGTGCACATTGTTCTCCCAATGTCAACATGGAAAATAGTTTAATATTTAAAAATCTAAAGATCGCACATACAAGGTCAAATCAATGGTTACTTAATTTTCCTGGGTCTGCACTCTTACCTTGAAGTGAGGTGCAGATTCCACCACTATCACCTGGAACTTGCGCTTTTTTGCAGCACCCTGGAAGATGCAATAACATTTTTTCAAAACAAAAAATGACATCAATATGGAGTAGCAAACCCCAACAAACAAGATCACTCAATATTGGCAATTTTCAAATGATTCCTCATTTTGGGTATCATGCTAGAAGTAGCATCAAGCTGAAATGTATACTTAATAAAAAATGTTAATTCCAGCACAAAGAGACAACAATTTTGATTTGATTGTCATGGAGCTAGATGGTGCTCGATAGGTTAGTTTTGATAGGAATATTACAAGATTAGATTTATGATCATATGACTGGTAAATGATGAAATCACATTGTATAACCCTAACAAATGTAAAGGTCTATCGTAAATGAGTTACTCCCGGTATTTTTTGTGTGTGATTTAGTTTCGCACTTTTCACGAATAGATGGTAAAATGGTGAAAATTAATCTTCGAGAAATTGTCAATTAAATCCCCAGGGATTTGTAATTTTTCATTACCCAAGGCTTAAAGTCTTCAGCAATATCAAGAAAAAATGACCAAAATCTGACCCCATTGAGTTAAATACTGGATTAATTTCTAGGGGGAGGGGGGAGTAGGGGGTCAAGCAAGGATTTTAAAATTATCTAATTTGAAAGTATATGTAACAGGTCTACATTACTCTAAAAAGCACTCAATCAAATCTCATTTTCCAAAATTTCTTGGAGGGAGGAGCTGTCAAAACTCACCACTTGCTTGGTCTGCATCCTGAGCCATTCAATTTTCAGGAAATTTGAAATTTGTTGCTTCAAACCATGATTACCTGAGACTCCATTGCATTTTGTGTTTTGAAAATGTTTGTCAAATGTTTTTAGGAGATAAATGGGATACTAAGTAACAATGTCTGTTACAGTGGCTTATTCATATTAGATCAAATAAACGAAAAAATTATGATGTAACAGAGGTTAAGTCGCAGCATGTCGTTGACCAAGATGACATAGTAGTAGGTGTACTTAGTGAACTTCGCGAAATTTAATAGCCGCGAAATCGTGTTTTCTCAAAATTCGTGAAATTAAAACTTGTGAAATTAACCAGGAGTACAGTAATTATTTTGATTACATACAATCATTTATTTATTTCAACACGTGAGATGCATCCTGTTTTTCTTCAATTGGTCCGAGTTATATGATTGATTCTATCATAAGCATATGACTTAAATAACATTGTTACTTGATTCTAATGAAGGTGAATCTCTTATGAGTCTCACCTTTGTAACAACATCCATTGTAAATTAGATAACTAGATTTTGACAACATGTATTGTTTATTTCAAGGCATCAGATTCATCCCATTCTTTAATTCATTACTGACCAACCCTGAGATATCTCGTCTATGACATCATAATCATATCTGACCAACCCCAAGATCTTGGGGTAATGTCCAATAATTGTCAAATAATTTGTACCAACAATCTTACCAAATATTGTAGGGGTCACGAGGACAAGAGATGTCATAAATACCTTTAGGAACGCCTCTACCGTTGATGACCTGCCTGCTGTCATTATTACTTCATTAGAGTGAATATGTTCAAGAGATTGGGCTGTGATGTTGTCTGCACTGAAATAATACAATATATCATGATAAACCATGACATCTCAAATCTTCTCAGCCCTGAGATGCCATGATATAATGAGCTTGATTTGGCGATCCAGGAGAGCCCAAAATTGAGGAATTTTGAGATCTTTCATCCCAGCTCATATTTCATCTAATTGGGGTCATACAACTTGTGTAACTGTGCCTGGTGTAATATCTGCTGTTAAATACAATGCTTATTATGTAATGTATTGAGGTATATGATTACATGATAACAATCACACTTATCTGATGTGTTCAGATCACAGAATATGCCTCATAATATCAGAGCATGTGTCAGGTGAAACAGAAAGATGCTATGAGTATCAGAATGATACAATATTAGCACTAAAGTATTTCATCATGACAAACCATGACATCTTAATTATTCTAAGCCAGGAGATAACAGAAATTGCTATAGATTGTAGAATGACATTATAATAATTTATCCTGCACGTGTCATGACATATAGTCTCAAAATGAAAAAGTTATGGTTGCTATGTGGAGTAATGTCACAATTGTGTTTTATAATTCTTTTTCCTTCTCATATTATCTCAGCATTCCAAAATTCTGTCCCTATGATGCATCACATGTACGGTAACAACATAAGGATTGAGACTCTATTTGATCATTTGATATTACTACTATTATCCAGCATTATGTATTTCCCAACGTTATCTTTACTCAGTACTTTTGTGGTGCATCCTGACTGGCGAAGACCTGACAAAACCGCTGCTGTCCATGTGCCCTCAGACTGATGATAACATTGGCTGTCAGCGAAGTCTCATAAAATATTGCTTTCAGAAGTTCATTAAAGTAGAAGTCAAAAGGGGCATAATAACTAGAGATCGAACGATCTAAGATTGCAAGCAATCTTACGGAGGCCCTATATTCGTTTCTGAACATTCAAAGGGCAGCCAAAGGTCAAATCTCTAATACAAGGTCATATATGAACTCCAGACAACTTGTAGATGATTTTTAAAAAAGGTTTGGTCGAATTAATGCAAGTTGAAATTTGACCTTGAAAAATTCCGAAATTTGACCTTTTTTCAGTTTTTGAGCTATAATATCTCAAAACTGGAGCCAAATTTTAATAGATAATCAATTGCTAATATGTGTAAAACCTTTAGTAGAGGAATATATATTCTGACTTTCATTTCAAAATATTGATTTGTAGTCTCCAATTTTGAGAAACTTAGAAAACACAGTTTGTGATTTCGTTTGATGACCTTGACCTTTGACCTTGCAAATTTTACTTTTTTAGACCTCAGAAGGTCTTTTGTGAATAAATATACCTAAATTTGAATCCAGAAAATCGATTTGAAAAATCAACTTTTTTGACCTTTCGGAGGTCACTGAAGGTCAACCAAAGGTCAAAGGTCAAAAGTAAGGTTAGATTTGGAATCCTGAGAACTTGAAGATGAGTTTTAAAAAAATTGGTCAATTTGAAGCAAGTTAAAATTTAGTCTTGAAAAGTTTCGAAATTTGACCTTTTTTCAGTTTTTGAGTTCCAATATCTCAAAACTGGTACACAATTTTAATAAATAGTCAATTGCTAATATGTGAAGAACCTATAGAGGAATATATATCCTGACTTTCATGAAAAAACATTGATTTGTAGTCTCCAATTTTGAGAAACTTAGAAAACACAGTTTGTGATTTAGTTTGATGACCTTGACCTTTGACCTTGCAAATTTTACTTTTTTGGACCTCTTTTGTGATTAAATACACCTGAATTTGAATCCAGAAAATCGATTTGAAAAATCAACTTTTTGACCTTTTGGAGGTCACTAAAGGTCAACCAAAGGTCAACAAAAGGTCAAAAGTAAGGTAAGATTTGGAATCCTAAGAACTTGTAGATGAGTTTTAAAAAAAGTTTGGTCAATTTAGATCAAGTTGAAATTTGACCTTGAAAATTTTCGAAATGTTGACCTTTTTCAGTTTTTGAGCTCTTATATCTCAAAACTGGTGCAAAATTTTAATAGATAATCACATGCTAATATGTGAAGAAAAAGTGGGGGAATATATATTTAGACTTTCATTAAACTATATTGATTTGTAGTAACCAATTTTGAGAAACTTGGAAAACACAGTTTGTGATTTAATTTAATGACCTTGACCTTGCAAAATTTAATTTTTTCGACCTCTTCGGGTCTTTTGTGATTAAATGCACTTAAATTTGAATCCAGAAAATCGATTTGAAAAATCAACTTTTTTTACCTTTCGGAGGTCACTTAAGGTCAACAAAAGGTCAAGGGTCAAAAGTAAGGTAAGATTTGGAATCCTGAGAACTTGTAGATGAGTTTTAAAAAAAAGTTTGGTCAATTTAGATCAAGTTGAAATTTGACCTTGAAAATTTTCGAAATTTGACCTTTTTCAGTTTTTGAGCTCTAATATCTTAAAACTGGTGCAAAATTTTAAAATATAACCAATTGCTAATATGTGTAGAACCTTTAGAGGAATATATTTTCAGACTTTCATCAAAAAATATTGATTTGCAGTCACCAATTTTGAGAAACTTGGAAAACACAGTTTGTGATTTAATTCAATGACCTTGACCTTTGACCTTGCAAATTTTACTTTTTTGGATCTCTTGGGGTCTTTTGTGATTAAATGCACCTAAATTGGAATCCAGAAAATTGATTTGAAAAAATCAACTTTTTTGACCTTTCGGAGGTCACTGAAGGTCAACAAAAGGTCAAAGGTCAAAAGTAAGGTCAGATTTGGAATCCTGAGAATTTGTATATGAGTTTTAAAAAAAAGTTTGGTCAATTTAGATCAAGTTAAAATTTGACCTTGAAAATTTTCGAAATTCGACCTTTTACAGTATTTGAGCTCTGATATCTCAAAACTGATGCAAAATTTTAATAGATAATCAATTGCTAATATGTGTAGAACCTTTAGATGAATATATATTCAGTCTTTCATGGGACAATATTGATTTGTAGTCACAAACCTTGAGAAACTTAGAAAACACAGTTTGTGATCTTGTTTGATGACCTTGAACTTTGACCTTGAAAATTTTACTTTTTTAGACCTCAGTATATCTTTTCTGATTGAATTAACCTAAATTTGAATCCAGAAAATCAATTTGAAAAATCAACTTTTTGACCTTTCGAAGGTCACTGAAGGTCAACTAAAGGTCATAGGTCAAAACTAAGGTCAGATTTGAGTTTCTGAGATCTTGTAGATGCTTTTTAAAAAAAAGTTTGGTCAATTTAGAGCAAGTTGAAATTTGACCTTGAAAAATTTCGAAATTTGACCTTTTTTCAGTTTTTGAGTTCTAATATCTCAAAACTGGAGCAAAATTTTAATAAATAGTCGATTGCTAATATGTGTAGAACCTTTAGAGGAATATATTTTCTGACTTTCAGTGAAAAAAAATTGATTTGTAGTCTCCAATTTTGAGAAACTTAGAAAACACAGTTTGTGATTTTGTTTGATGACCTTGACCTTTGACCTTGCAAATTTTACTTTTTTAGACCTCAGAAGGTCTTTTGTGAATAAATATTTCTAAATTTGAATACAGAAAATCGATTTGAAAAATCAACTTTTTTGACCTTTCGGAGGTCACTGAAGGTCAACCAAAGGTCAAAGGTCAAAAGTAAGGTCAGATTTGGAATCCTGAGAACTTGTAGATGAGTTTTAAAAAACATTTGGTCAATTTGAAGCAAGTTGAAAAAAGACCTTTTTTGACCATTTTTTGACCTTCAATATCTCAAAATCTAAGCAAAATTTCTCTAGACGGCAAAAGGCTTAGACTAATAGAATACTAATATCTATCTGTATGCAAAAATTCAGCCAAAAATATTGAAGTGTAGTGTCAGGATTTGAGAAACATGAAAAAAACTTAGATTTGACCTAGATTTTGACCTTTGACCTTGACCTAGATATGAACTAATTTCCCGACAAGTCCAGCCCAGGTCCCTAATAAGATTATATATGAGATAAGTCAAAGCTAGCTGGAAGTTGGAGAAAAAATGCTAAAAAGAATAATAAATAAATAAATAAATAAATAAATAAAGAAGAATAACTACAAAAATGATAGGAGGCCCCTTGAAGGGCCTCCTAATAATCAGGTGAATATTCATTCTGACACTCATAGCATCTTTCTGTTTCACCTGAAACATGCTCTGATATTCTGTGACCTGAGCACATCAGAATGGAAGAGTTATAACTATCAATAAGTGTGATAGTTATCATGTAATCATTTACCTAATGTCAATACATTACATAATAGGCATTGTATTTAGAAGCAGATATTAGCAAAGGCACGTGTACACAAGTTTAATGACCCCAATTAAATGAAATATGAGTTGGGATGAAAGATCTCAAAAATCCTCAATTTTGGGCTCTCCTGGATCGCCAAATTAAGCTTATTATATCATGCCATCTCAGGGCTGAGAAGATTTGAGATGTCATGGTTTATCATGATGGTGAATATTGGGCATTGCATAGAAAGGTTTAATTTCAAGACACTCTATTGTAAGATTTGTTCTCTTTGCTTTGTAAATTGGAACATTGTGGAGGTTCATTATCGTCTTACCTATTAATCCAGTGACCTTTTGTCCAAAGGCTTGTATAAGATTTCTTTGATTATAGTATACTGGTAAGCTACATTACATAGTTCTGATATGGATTACGGACATCATTATACAGAACATAACAATGTGGCTACAATAACACAATATCAAAACAAAATGTTGACAGAACATATTGTTAGTACCTCAAGTGAAATACTCGATTCTGATTGGTTGATTAGCGGTCAACAATATGTACCGTTGACCGCTACTAGGTACTGGTGACCGTTACTTTTGAAAAATAAGTTTCATGATGTCATATTGTTGAAAGAAAAAACATGGTAGACGGACTAAACATTGATGAAAGTGATATTTTGACTTTACTAGACGACAAGTATAGCAAAAATACAAATAGAAATGTAAAATAAGCATTAATTTACTAATGAGTATGCATTGCTGGCGTGGTTCGGAGAAATGTGAAATGAAGCCATGCCGATTGATGATTGTCGTCTATATGTGTATTATTAGTTTCTTCGGACTAACAAAACAATTGTAGACCTCTCCATTCGGTCAACCGTCAAAATCATATACCTCGACTGTAAACCTTAAAACTCCTGTTGACCTCGACCTTTGGTCTCAAGTGTCAACAGTAGTTTCTCGGTTTTCAGTCTCGAATACAATTTTGCCAGTTGACCTCTGGAGAGGTCAACAATTGTATACTGTAAAAATGGTAATATTTTAGCAGTTTATCACATTTTACTGACATTTTGGAATTGCCCCACATACCTCTAACCACCTTTCCTTGTCACTTTAACACATTTGGATTAAAAGTGATGAAAGTTGGGAGATATATCTGTAGAAATTTCATTTTTTAAAACATAAAACTCTTAAAATTATTTGGACACCCTATATTTAGTAAGTGACATGTTTTTGGTTGTACTCTTAGATATTTCATTTTCTTGCTCTTTTGAATAGATTTTGGTATTTCCCCTTTGCTACTTGTGAATATAATATACTAGGGACCGAAAAATGATGCATATGTGTGAATCTCTTTACATATGGGTTCCAGTCCTTCAAGTTGTTCCCAGTTAGGGATATTCACATTTAGAGGTGCTCTACTCATTTGATTGTACTTTTAAATTTCTGAAGTTTTGAATTTACCTTGTTTCCAGCTCAGTAAGGAGTTCGCCAATGGCTTCCATAATAATAGGCTGAAAAACAAGTGTGAGGTAATTATGTAATTAACTGTGTTCATGTTAAAGAAGTACAGTAATCTAATTATCATATTTCAGTGAAAATAGATGAATCATGCTGATGACATGAAAGTATAGTGTGCGTGATGCAGTTGGCGTAAATAAATAGTATATCTCATATTTCTGTCCACTTTTATCTAAATGTACACTTAATAGGTCCATTCAAAATTTATGCATGTATCTTTATTTTTGACTAGTTTTTTGATTCTGAATACAGTCATGTCCTTTTATTCTTAAAATTGCAAATTGATGTATATTTTTGAATGGACATAGACATTATGTATACCCTCTGTATCAAAGGTCTTCTCCTATTGAGACAACCCTTATTTAACTTTAGTAAACAGCTCCTGAACATGCAATGCTACTCTTAACCCTTTCCTGCAGAAATTTTTGAGATCGCACTCCCCTGACTGAAAGCTGGCTACACCCCTGTAGCATATTCTGATTGCTCATAATTAGCATTTTATATATAAAGACTTTTGTCTGTTTAGTTTTACAGAGGAGCCTGATCTGGTCAGTTTGGTAATAAAAGGTAAATTTGACGTCATGATCTTGTAAAAAGTCACGTCAGTGTTTTTGGTATATGGCATGTACTATATGTAATATTTTCAATAAAAATTAATCAACAGCCTTAAAATTTTTGGATAATGTGTATAATATGCCTTAAATTATTTGTGACAAGTTTCATAAAGTAAACTGGTCATTTACTTAAGTTATTTGAGGTTTGAGGTATTTGACTTTTGATACAGAGGGTATGTAAAATGAAACATTAGTCTACCTTTAAGTTATGGCTGGGGGTACTGTAGTCATCAGAGTCTCCTTGTCCTTTGGCAAGGAGCAATTTCTACAAAACAATACAAGGCATTAACATGACAAAATGTCACCACCTAAAACAATTTGGTCAATATAAAGCAAGTTGGAAAATACCTTTTGACCTTAAGAAGAACTTCTGAGAACATGTAGATGATTTTGAAAAAAAAATTAGTCAATTTGAAGGAAGTTGAAAAAAGACCTTTTTGACCTTGAGAAGGTCATTGAAGGTCAAAGGTCAAATCTAAAGTCAGATTTGAACTTCTGAAAAGATGTAGATGATTTTGAAAAAAAATTTGGTCAATTTGAAGCAAGTTGAAAACAGACCTTTTTTACCTTTTTTTGACCTTGAGAAGGTCATTAAAGTCAAATCTAAAGTCAGATTTGAATTTCTGAGAACATGTAGATGATTTTGAAAAAAAAATTAGTCAATTTGAAGCAAGTTGAAAAAAAAGACCTTTTTTGACCTTGAGAAGGTCATTGAAGGTCAAATGTCAAATCTAAAGTCAAATCTAAAGTCATATTTGAATTTCACAGAACATGTAGATGATTTTGAAAAAAAAATTTAGTCAATTTGAAGCAAGATGAAAAATACCTTTTTGACCTTTTTTGACATTGAGAAGGTCATTGAAGGTCAAATGTCAAATCTAAAGTCAGATTTGAGTTTCTGAGAACACGTAGATAATTTTGAAAAAAAATTTAGTCAATTTGAAGCAAGTTGAAAAAAGACCTTTTTGACCTTTTTTGACTTTGAGAAGGTCATTGAAGGTCAAATGTCAAATCTTAAGTCAAATCTAAAGTCAGATTTGAATTTCTGAGAACATGTAGATGATTTTGAAAATTTTTTTTAGTCAATTTGAAGCAAGTTGAAAACAGACCTTTTTGACCTTTTTTGACCTTGAGAAGGTCATTAAAGGTCAAATGTCAAATCTAAATTCAGATTTGAATTTCTGAGAACATGTAGATGATTTTGAAAAAAAAAATTAGTCAATTTGAAGCAAGTTGAAAAAAGACCTTTTTTGACCTTGAGAAGGTCATTGAAGGTCAAATGTCAAATCTAAAGTCAGATTTGAAGGTCAAATGTCAAATCTAAAGTCAAATCTAAAGTCAGATTTGAATTTCTGAGAACATGTAGATGATTTTGAAAAAAAATCTAGTCAATGTGAAGCAAGTTGAAACAAGAACACAAATGTGTACAAAATGTCCCCACCAAGTGGTGATCCCGTGAAATGGTTATCCTGAAAATGAGTAGACAAGACTTTACCAACACAATTTGAGGACGGAAAATCCAAAGTGGCCACCTTAAAATTTACCCAGAATGCCAAAAATTTAGTCAGTTCTAGATTTTCATACTAAGAACCACCCCTGAAAATTTGAAATTGATCCGTCACACAGTTAACCAGAAAACATGTAAACAAGACTTTACAGACAAGATTTCAGGATGGAAAATCCAAAATGGCTGCCTTGACATTTACCCAGAATGTCAAAAAACTAATCTGTTTGTAGATTTTCATACTAAGAATCATCCCTGAAAATATGAAATTGATCTACCAAACGGTTCACCTGAAAACGGGTAGACAAGACTTTACAGACAAGATTTTAGGACAGAAAATCCAAAATGGCTGCCTTAACATTTACGCAGAATGCAAAAAAAGTAATCAGATGTAGATTTTCATACAAAGAATCATCCCTGAAAATTTGAAATTGATCTATCAAACTGTTCTCCTAAAAACGCGTAGACAAGACTTTACAGGCAATATTTTAAGACGGAAAATCCAAAATGGCTGCCTTGACATTTACCCAGAATGCAAAAAAACTAATCAGTTCTAGATTTTCATACTAAGAATCATTCCTGAAAATTTGAAATTGATCTACGAAACGGTTCACCTGAAAACGAGTAGACAAGACTTTACAGACAAGATTTTAGGACGGAAAATCCAAAATGGCTGCCTTGACATTTACCCAGAATGCCAAAAAACTAATGAGATCTAGATTTTTATACTAAGAATCATCCCTGAAAATTTGAAATTGATCCACCAAACGGTTCACCTGAAAACGCGCAGACAAGACTTCACAGACAAGATTTTAGGACCGAAAAATCCAAAATGGCCAACAATAAAAAAGTCCTTATGAGTTTTTGCTGATTTCTTTTTACAAAATTATCACATATAACTACTGTTAACAATAAAGTAGGCTTTTACAGCAAAGTACATCTGAAATTATTTATAAAGCTACTAAATAGTTAAAGTATGAAAACTCAAAAACACCATTCAATATGATACAAAGTATTATCGCGCGCTAACTTTTCTTAAGACATTCAAAATGGCTGACATGACTGAGCTAGCAGGTCCAAAACCTAATCAGATCTAGAATGAAGTGAGCTGAACAAGATGTTAAAGTTTTAAAAGCAACTGTGAAGCAGTTTTTCTTAAAGTTTGCAGACAAGGATTTTAGCATTTGACTTCAAAATGGCCGACAGGAAGTAGGTATCGAGTTAATTTTTTTTCATCCACATCTGTATGCACTCATAAGTTATCCCTGAAAATTTGAAGGTGATATCTGTAGCGGTTTTGGAGAAAACTGCCGGACGTACGGACAGACAGACGGACAGACGGACGCGCCTAGGCCGACAATATGGCCCCACACTATGTGGTGGGGACATAAAAAGACCTTTTTGACCTTGAGAAGGTCATTGAAGGTCAAATGTCAAATCTAAAGTCAGATTTGAACTTCTGAGAACATGTAGATGATTTAGAAAAAAATTGAAGTCAGTCTAAACAGTATTTGTTAAGTTATAGGAAGTTGTAAGAAATTGTTACAGACGCCAACCGCCGGACGCCAACCGCCGGACGCCAACCGCCAGACGCCAACCGCCGTCGCAAAAAAAACGGAGACCATAACAATATGTCACCACTTTTGGTGGTGACATAATAAGATCAGAAAATTACATCAATGACACCTGATTTTTATCAACGATATTTACTTCAAATAAAGCAAAACATACACTACAGTACACTATACTACAGGGTCAACTGGTAAAACTGAAAAGATTTGAGAACTCAAAATTGGTCTTACTCAATGTCTTAAGAATGTTGAGTAAGACCAAAGTTGAGTGCATGGATAAAGCATCAAATGTTTTGAATTTTGAAAAAAAAACATGGAAAAATAAACAATCAATAATTGAATTTATATTCTTGTTACCTGTAAAGATTCTTGAGGATCCCCCTCCTCACCACCTCCTTTCACTCTGAAAGATATCATATGTGTGTTTATTCGGGTGTACAAGGATATCAAATGTAAATAGATTTATCCCATGGTAAGAAGGATATAGATCGAATATCACATGAAGATATTTGATATGTGGATCAAGATATCATATTTCAGCAAAAAATCCCCAAACCATCAAATATCACTTTGAAACCATTGAATATCACTTTTTAAAAAAAATTTTAATATGTTTTTTTTCAATTTTTTTCACTGATGATAATTTCCCATGGGATAAACGGACAATCCTATGATTTTTCAAACATATCATTTATATCCACACATGGATATCGATATCTTCACTCACTTGCTGCAATCACTCGTGAAGTTATCAATATCCACTCATGGATATAATTGATATTTTTTCAAAACCATAGGATATTCCTATGATATTATTCATTCAGGGGAATCATGTCTTCAGAGAAAATGTTGAAAGGGTATACTGTATTTAAAGGGAAAATATATGTTCAAGGAACACAGACAATGGAAATATACTATAGAATAATACACAAGAGACATCTATGCATGTGAAAAGTGCAAGGAAACATGATAATAGTGAGGCATTGGTGTACATCTTGGGAAGATAGGATCGTGTACAGGGGAAAAAGGTACATGGAAAATGCATAAGGAATGTACAATGTAATGCGCTTGTTTATGGAAATGCTCTGAAAACATAAAACATGATTTGAATAATAATTTCTATATGGGGTCAAGTTCTTACAGGGGAACTCTGAAAGTGAGCAATAAATTAAAATATCACACTTCTTCAGCCTCACTTTAAAATACAAGTTTGGCAGATCTGGTTTTACTGAATAAAATAGAAACTTACCCAGCATATTCTTCCCTTATGATCTTTAACACTGAAAATTAAATGATACAGATATGATAACATAAAAATTGTAAGACAAATTGCCAAAAAGTAGGTCTCATAGAGCTACCGTTCAATTGGACAAAAAGATGATTATCAAAGAGTAGTAATAAATCACACTGAATAAATACTATTCAAACATAACCACGCTATATCAGAATCTCTTAACCAATCAGAATGCAGCATTGTCATTCTCAAAAGATGAACCATTATTCATTATGCAGGCCCGTAGCCAGAATTTTCCAAGGGGGGTTCACTTTTCCAAAAAATTCTAGTGGGGGGTTCACTTTGACAAATTTGGCCAAAAATCACTCAAAAAATAGTCAGAATGATGAAAAACTGCATGATTTCGAAAGAAATTTTGGCCAGGGGGGGGGAGTTCGCCCAAACCCCCCGAGGCGAACCCCCCGAACCCCCCCTGGCTATGGGCCTGTTATGTAATCTGCATCTGTGAATCTTTGTATCGTTATGTATTGTGACATAACATCTGGGAATGGCGAAAATAAAAGCAAGTTGGTTACTTCATGGACCTCAATCTACAATTCTCTGAACAATGCTTTAATTTATATGTTTGAATCCGAATAAATCATGATAAGCCATTCAATATGGTGAAATCTTACACTGATTTTACAGAATGTCAGTACTACTGTGAGTAAACATCTAAAGTTTTACAGAGACACATCAATGGCAGAAAAGGAAGTGGGAGTTTCATTCATGAATGGGGAACCGGATGTACCATTAGAATGCACCAGCAACCCAATTAAAGGTTGCATATAAAGAAAGAACATGGTTTCAACTATTTTTAAAAGGCTATGTTGCTGATCAATTCTGGAGTGTAGCAACATATGTTTGTATTAAGTAATTAAAATTAAGTAATTAAAATCTAATAATGTCCTTTCCTCAAAAAACTTTTTCAACATTTGTTTGGCTGGAATATCATTTACACCCTATAAGTGGACTACAATATGGAAAGTTTGACTTATTCGTCGAGTTAAAAATCTAAAAGCATACACTTAACTTATACACTTATAACTATAAGATACTGAGTAACAAAATAAGTAAAAGTTCATGTAAGTCAATACTGTACCTCTTCTGACCATGTTTCCTGTGGCAGACTCAGTAGGTACCTCTTGCGCCAGAATCCTTCCTTCCCTTTTTACGAGATCAATCAATTCGCTAAAAGGCAAGTACAGAGATGTTATTAACTGGAACTTCTGGAAGGGATGTGAAGTTTATTTCATAGGTACTTCATGAGATTTGCCACGGGCCATGGAATGATATCTTAAGGCTCCAAAAACTGCTATGAATTTGTAAATCAATTGTTGTAACCATGGATATAATGACGTCACAGTTAGAAAATAATGGACTTTACAAATTCGTAACTTTACGAAGTTTCTGTTAATGGCCCCCTGGAAGATAAATGATATATACCCTAATAATGCTGATTATGATAATGCAGAATGTTGGCAGTACACACACACACATGGTTACATATTAATTATTTAATTTTCTAATTCTTAACGTTAATATTTATTTATCTAAATCTTGATGCTTGATTAAAGCAAGTGTATTATTGAGATCTAAATGCTAAATTAATATTAAATTGAATTATTAATTAATTAATTTATTTATCTAAATCTTGAATTATTGAATTATTTACACATCCTAAAATATATTGTGATTGTAAAATTATACTTACTGCTTCCATATTTAATGAGTCAGACATTTTCGTGAAAAACAACCTACCCAGCATTGCTCCACTTTGTGTTGCCAACAATCTTTCTCAGAAACTGCACAGTGCCACAGGCCACATCATAGGACCCTTTAAATTTCCTGAAATTCAAATAAAAAATTCTGTTAAGCTAAAAAAAAAACTCCAACTAGATTTATAAAAGACAATAAAAATTAAATGTGACGCTGCTCCACAAACCCCCAACTCCCATTACCATAATGACCATAACTTTTTCATTTTGAAACTATATGTCATGACAGTTACAGGATATGTTATTGAAATGTCATTCTATATTATTGAAATGTCATTCTACAATCTGTAGCAATTTCATCTTGCAACAGGTAAATCTATTGAAGTTAGAGCATTTGTATCTTTACTTTCTGGACACCCTGTAGTTGTCTTTCAAGGGTACTTTTAGATTTTCTTCTAAAGTTTACAATTGTAATATTATCTACTTCTAAAAGCAATTATATATACATTTCTTTCTTTAAAATACATACAACGTAATTATAGTTTAGTCAAAAATATCCCTAAAAATAAACAAACTTAACTAAAGTATAGGTATAGTATACTGGTATATGCTCATCCCAATATAGAATAAAATGCAGTAAACATGAAGTATTAAAAATAGCAAGTTGAAATAAATTTTACAAGAAGCAGATTATCCAATCCAGTGCCAATGAGTAAATCTTGTAAAACCAACTTTCCTTATAAAATTAATTAAAAATACATACATGTCAACTTTATACAAGGAAGATGTTGATCTACAGAGTATAAAAATATGACGTCATAATATATATGTTTAGTAAAGGAGAAATTCTTCTCACATTGAAATGTTTACCATGCATTGTCATTTGTCCTATACAGGCCAGGTACAGGGTGAGCCACAAAAAGGTAACCCAAACAAAACTTAATAACTCAGTCATCCAGTATAGGTTTTAATCATGTTTGGTCAATGTTTTTTCATTCTAATAAGTTTCATTGGTTTATTTCCAATGGTTACGATTTTATGGCCATTTTACAAAACATGCTCCAAATGCCAAAACATACCAAAATCATCCAATACGAACCCCCTGAATTTTACCTTTGTGGCTATTTCATAGAAAATATGTATATTAACAACACTAGATGCACCAGCGAGTTTAAACAAGAGATTAGAAAGGAAATGATAGCCATTACACAAGATATCTGTAAGCGTGTAGTCAGAAAACTTCAACCGATGCGTTCATGTTTGCCTACAAAGACAAGACAGCTTGCCATAAAATGGTGACCATTTGCAATACACTAATGAAAGTTAATTGAATGAAAGAACATTGAATAAGGTTCAATTGTGCCAAATACGGCTTCAAACCCATGCTGGACAACTGAGTTATTAAGATTTGTTTGGGTTACCTTTTTTAGCTCACCGTGTAGTGTAGAAGTTACAATTCTGAGTTTTAAATAATATAACAAACTAATGTTCAAATAATTTGTAAAAGATAAGGATTCTAAGTACAGAAAAATCACATACTCATGTTTTAAGTCATTTGTGAGGGTGTCTCTCCGTTCAGTCACTTCTTGATCTCCGGGCATACTTTGGTCTCAACAATCAATTATGCAAATCTGAAAGAAAACTGTCACATAGAACATGCTCAACTATAATAGTAAAATGAGGTTGAAAGCCAATGTTCTTAGTTCTTACCAATTTGTGAATTAAACCTTTTTCATCCAGGATTATTGTCTGATTGTTGTTTAAATCTGAACTGACTTTTTCTAAAGCTGTCTCCAATATTTGCACTATAATACATCAATTAGGTCACAGTGGGATATGGGGTGGTGTGTATTTATTCATAAGGTATGAATGGCTTGTGTGCATGCTTGGATTCCACTAATTATGTAGTAACATAATGTGATCAGGATTTAATTAGTTCTGCTCCTATAAACTTACTCGATTCTTGGCTAGAAGTAATCTGATCTGGAACACCGTGAACCATTTGAAAAAAAGCTGGCCGGCATGTTATGAATTCATTAAATATTTTAAAAATCGCCAGAAAAAATATCATAAATAAAAATGGAACTAGCTGGGCTCCTTGATGAGATATTGCATGATTTGGTCAGGATTTCGCCTAAAATTAAAACAAACGGCTCCAAGAAAAATGGATGAAATGTCATTATGTTTGACATTAGTAAGTGGCTGTAAATTCCAAGTTAGCGATCCAGAAGTTGTGAACTAACACATTGATCACTTCATGTGTGTTTTGGATTTTTTGGTGAGGTAATAAAACCTGTGGAAAAATCACGAACATTTGATTTCAAATTTTATGATTACAATTATGACCTGTATACAGCTTATCTTGTTCCAACACCATCCGAAATTTAACGGCGTTAGGTACGCATATATTTCTTACCTCTATCGACTCTTAACACCAAAAGAAATGTTCTCCCCAAGCCAGAAAAGACGCGGCTGTCTCAAATTGCAGTAATATACACTTCAATCTTAAAATCGACCAGTATTCTTATACTTATTTAAAAATGTCTGCCATGAACATTTCATCCAGTGCCTTCATTTCAATCTCTTTTTTCCCCGAGAACAGTATCCTTCAAACTTGAGAAATAAGTTCACTCAATTAATACGGAATCAAGTCAAGCAACATTGATAAATCGTTAACGATGTATTTGAATGATTTCACTGGAAATTGATGTTGTATTTGACGTGTTGTTAGGTATAATGCAAGGAAATTCCCTTGGCTGATCGGTGTCAGCCAACGCCGAGTGTTTTCTTCATTTATTTATTACTATGTGTCGTGTAAGTTAAAATAATCCGAAAGTGACTTCATCAAATTCATGGATGACATTTTGGAAAACCGGTCGATTTGAAGTTTGAAGAGTTTATTGCTGCGATTTGAGACAGCCGCAACTTTTCTGCCTTTAGAAGAATGTTTCTTGTGATGTTAAGAATCAATAGAGGTAAGAAATATGTGCGTAGCTATCGCCAATAAATTTCAACTTTTGAAAAATAACATGCGCTTCAATACATCCCCGCAAGACTAGAACGTAGGATAGTCTTGGAACGAGATAATATACAGCCACATGACTCACATCCGGCAGAGTAAAAAACATGCTGGGATTTATCTTTGGATGAAGGCCACGATATAGTGGCCTTAGATCTAGAAGAAGGTAAGTCGAAACATGGGCTTTCAATAGAATGCCCATGGACGAAACAAATAGCCATACTCGGGGACATAAGACATGTCAGATAGGAAATGAGGCCCTAGACAAGGTCTAACGTTGTTGGACTAGACTATCACCCGCTTATAAATGCCTATGATAGTATCATCTTCTAGCCTAGATCTATTATCACCCACACACAGAACATATTCGTATTTTAAGTATTATTTCATGAAAACCACAACAAAATAGTATTATATTCTTCAATACTTACATATATTATGTCTGTTGCATATGAGTTTATTACTAAAACGTATACAATCTATTGATTGTCCAGTAAAACCAGAAAAGATGTGAGAAATATTTTTTTAAGATTTTTGTGTAAATTCACTGCTGACTGATGTAATCGTAGAAAGCAGGCATAAATACAAAAATCACCTTTAACTGTAAGTAAATCTTTCAAAAATATGCCAATATTTTTTGTTTAATTAAAATCCTCCCAAATGAGTTCGTAAAACATATTCAAAAATACCGACCAATCAAAACTCTCCATTTATTCATTTCTATTCGACTTCCTTTTTGAAAAAATCCACGCCAGCAAAATAATATCCTAGATTTGTAGCAGTTTGGACGAAACAACAAGGTAATACACATCTAAATTTATTTTAGCTGTTAATATAAACATCCTTCATACTGAAACCTGTACAAGGAGCTAGTTTAGCATAATTTATTTTAGTTATTTTGTCTTGAATATGGTGTTTGAATATCAACACAATTTTCCCAAATTTTATTTTTGTGACGTGGACATGCGATTTTATTTAGATTTTATTTTATTCAGGGATAAAATACAGATTTCAAGTTATGTGATCTTAATTATTCATTTAGATTGTTCATTTTATTTTACACCCAGAGAAAGCAATTCAAATATTAAAGTTTTACTTGAATGTTTCTGTGCATGGTCTTGGTCTTTCAGGAAGTACCAATCTGGATGTGAATGATAACACCAGAAGGCTGAATAAATCACGATTGAAATTTTAAGACTTATTTTTTGTTATGATCTTGGAATTCGCTGATCAGTTGGGTTTTCGCTACCGTAGGTAACAAAAGAACAGGGGTGTCGGACCATATTCAATAAGAGGGGTGTCTGGCCTGGCAAGTGATTGCGTGGTTGAATGTAGCGCATGGGGGGATCCAAGGGCATGCTCCAACGGGGAAAATTTTGTCATCGAAGACATTATTTGGTGCAGTATGAGCATTTTAAGGAGTATGAATAGTTCTGATAAAGACCGCATTTTTGAAGTTTCACAGGATTCTCATCCAACCATTGGGTTTCTCCAATATACCTCTGTTTATACCTCCATGTTTATTTCCTCTAAAGATTGAAGGTTTCCATGTTTAATTCCTCTAGAAGACTTATAAAATGCAATTCATGTGCTCCTCTAAACTTCAGGTCCATGTCAAATTCCTCTGGAGCCTGCTGAGTTTCTTTGGTTTATGCCCAAAGCCAAATTAGCTGTGCTGCGCATACCTAACCAAATTATTACGAGTGAATCCTCCAGGATTCTCTCCAAAAAAATTGTTTAAAATATTTTTAAAACCTCAAATTTGCCATTTCAAAAGTTTTCATAACATTGGAATTCACATAATATTAACATCAATGTGACAGATGTTACCAGAGAAGTCCAATCTCAAATCAAACAAGATGTGCCATAATAAAATCGAATCTGACCTATTTTCTCTGTTTCAGTCACCATGGATCAGGTAATGACATTCGTAGAGCCAGCCAAGAGCTTCGCCAAAGATTCCATCAGATTGGTGAAAAGATGCACAAAGCCAGACAGAAAAGGTGAACAATTTAATGCCTGATAATTATTATCCCACCGAACAAATTTCGAGGGGGATATAGGAAAGCCATCTGTCCGTCCATCCATGTGTCCAAGTGATAACTCAAATACTGGTTGATGGATTTGATTCAAATTTTAAAGGCTTATGTCTTATGGGTGTAGAACCTCTAGGGACAAGGGAGCTTTGCTGAAGAAGAGATTTCAAGATGGCGACTGAATTCCAAAATGGCTGCCAATTTTCGTAAAAGTATAATCTTTGATGACTCAAATACCAGTAGACAGATTTGGTTCAAATTTTGTATGCTGATGCCTAGAGACAAAAGAATTCTGCTCAAGAAGACATTTTCAAGATGACTACTGAATTTTAAAATGGCCACCATTTTTTGTAGAAAACCTAATCTTTCATAACTCAAATACCAGTGGGCGGATTTGGTTCATGTTCTATGTGCTGATAACTAGAGATAAAGGAACTCTGCTCAAGAATAAATTTTCAAGATGAAAACTGAATTTCAAAATCTTTGATAACTCAAATACCAGTGAATGGATTTGGTTCAAATTTTATATGCTGATACCTAGGGACAACAGAGCTCTGTTCAAGAAGACATTTTCAAGATGGACCGCGTTATTTATCAAAACATGTTCGGTGGAATTTGCTACTCCGTGGAGTTGCTGTTTTCTAGTTACAATGTTTCCATCATTTGAAATGAAAAAAATATGTTTTTCACACTCAAATAATTTTTTTGAAACCAATGTTTTATAGGTTGAATGTTTTAATTTAATTTCAGTAAAGAAAATAATGACATGAAAACCATGCATGATAAAGTTTGAAATGATAGTTGTTTAGATTACTGCAAATCAAAAGCATGACTGCATGTACACAATACCATCGATCTGAGGGAGAATGCTACTGAAATATTTATGTGGAATTTTAAAATTGAAATTTAACTGGGAATTTTTATTTAAACTATTTCATCATAATAATGTAATTATTTATTTTGATAACATTAGATATGTGGCAGCTGGAACTTGTTTGTTGAAAGTCAGAGCTGGTTGATTATAAAACAATAATTGAATACATTGTTAATATTGTCGCACTAATTATATGATTGGCTAATATGGAGTGAATTCATAAAAGAGTTCATTAAATCTGTAATCAGCAATACATGTAGTTTTGAAATTGTAAAAGTCAATGCAGAAAGTGAAAACAATTTTAGAAATTCAAATCTTTGATCAGATATATTATTTATCAGGGCGCAAGTAAGTTTTGAATCTTAATTCCTGAATAACAAAGGAAAATAATATTCTCCAACATGGTTGGTCAGTAAGAATTGTTTCAGGATTTAGCGAGATGCCTCTTTGTCAAAAATGGTCAAAATTAGAAATGGCCCATTGTTTTGTCTGTTGGGATTGGCTTCATTGTGGGATTGCTATTTTATAGTTAAATAATAATTGATCGTTTGTACTTTTTTGTTTCAGAGTTCCAAAAGATAGCCATTGCCACAGCCATTGGGTTTGCTATCATGGGATTTATTGGATTCTTCGTCAAGCTTATACACATCCCCATCAATAACATCATTGTGTAAGTACCACTTCTCATATGTAATTTCAAACGTTTTGATATGACTTATGATTTTGTAATGCTCAAATCGGTATAAGTATTGCTTTAACGTTGTAAAATTCAATAGATTTTCTTATGTTTTCCAGTATTTGGTCAAATTACGAAGATCAATATGTTTGTTTTAAAAATGTATATGTCATACGTTTCACTGCAGTCCAGAATGAATGAACATGTACATTTTACATAGTTCACATATCTAATCTTGTTCAATCTTTTTTCCAGGGGATCATAACAGAACACAGTATAACATGACATTGTACTATAGACATTCTGAAACAGACAACATGAATAGAAACTTATATTTATAAATGCAATGATGCATAAGTACAAGGAGACAAGTGACCCAAGATGTAGTATATTTCACAAGTGTAATACTAGTATGACATATCTGGTAGCAATAGTTTGGAGATGAAACTGAAGGACAATGTTCATTTGTTTCTTACTTATAGGAAGATCCCATTGCACGTTATATTGTTGTAAAACAAGATATTGAATAATGAGACAATGTACAGATAATAAGCCAGTACATTGAGAATCAGTACTTTGGCTATTGAGTCAGTACATTGAATGTTGAATCAATACATTGAATGTTGAATCAGTACATTGAGTACTGATTCAATATAGTGTTTACCCCTGGTGACTGGCATGGATATAAGCCAGGTTTCACTTGCTATCAATGTGTATTGATCCATACACATATATCAGTCAATTTTACCATAGATCTTCATATCAATCATGTTTTAGTTTTGCTATTTGATGACTACTTTCAATATGCTAGTAATGCAATGTAATGTCCATGTATTGTGTCAAATTAAATATATTATATTATACATTTACGTATTGTATTCTTTTTTATTAATGTTTAGAAGATAAGTGTCTCGCAAATGTGTTTATATTTTCAACAACTACCAAAAGAGGGCATAAACTGTGCTGTTTAAAATAGCAGAAGAATTCTATAAATATGACCAAAAATTAAAAACTTCTGTCACTGGTAAAACATTGGCAAATAGAAAATAAATGGTGTTTTTGTAAAATGACAAATAATCAGTGAAAATTCATTATAGTAAAGTTTATAAAATGAAAAACATAAACCACTGTGCCTCTCACTGCAATTGAAAGTATTTAAAATTGTTACCGGTATATTTCTGTTGGACTAGTTTTTATCGCAATTTGAAAAAAGTTGTCTTGTTATTATCTGTGAAAGCAGTTGTGAACTTTTTGTCTAGAGAGCATGTAGTTAATATAAGCAAGCATCAAGTCTATATTTCGGTACAATCAATGAATGTCTGTAATTTTACAAGAGCTGATATTGAGTGCTATTGATTTGTCTGGGTCACCATATACAAAAATGTCAACAAGATGTTGTTTTGTTAAGTGAAGCATTGTCATGTCTCACTATACAGAGTTCATGGATGTTCTCCAGGGGACATTATATAGGGGCAGTCATGTTACAATGACATGCATCTAATCTTCATTATTTTACAATTTGAAGCTTTGCTCATGTATTTCAACATTTAAACAATCTTTTATCAACTCCCATATAAAATGGCATAAAATCTACTACAATTACTCAATGCAAAGAATAACATAGACTCACTGAGAATTCATCTTTACAATTATTTATTATTGAAAAATGTCATTATGACACTATGGAAATGCAAATTGTCTTGTGTATAATAAAATCCAATTTATATTCAAGTAATAAAAGGAAAATCAATTTATTATTTATAAGCATCAATCTCTAAAAGCTCTCAAGATCAATTACAAATTCCTTCGTTAATAATTTATTGGAATATAATATCCGGGGATATCCCCTATTGTGTTTTAGTTGCAATAAACTGAAGGGTTTTTAATAAATGGAGACATTGTATATGTTTATACAGACTGCTCAAGAAAATTGTTTCCCATGGCATAGAAGGCATCTAAAATCCCACTTAGTACTGTGTATAATGTCTAGCATAATGCAACAATCGGGAACAAATATTATTCTTCAGAATTATGCGGTGACAATGGCCAACAATGATGACTCCTCCAAGGCATTAGATATTGACATTTCATTACTTATTTTGCTTGATTGAAATGTACTGGTTAATTTAATTGTAATTGTGTTGCTGAAATGAATTTATCGCACATGTTTTTGGTGGTCTCACATGCATATGACAGCAATTGGATGTTGCCCTCTTGAAAATCACATTTCACTGTTGAGACATAATTTCACCTGTCAAAAAAATTAAATATAGGTGAAATTAGAATTTGCCCCACTGTTGATAAAAGAACTAGGGTGCATTTTATTAACATTTTGTTTGATTGTAATTTTAGGCTATCAGTTCAAAATAATTCAATAACTTCAAATTCAACTCCAGGGCATTAAAAACTGTGATATAAAACAATAGAATTGTACTCAATCAATTACATTGTAGTCTAGCCATTATACAATGCTTAAGTGTTGTAATTTTGCCATTACATGTTCTGAAGATGTTTTAATGTCTCTATGAGGCATGACTATGAGGCATTGGCACGTATTACACAATCTATATCTGCATTCTACACCTTTGTTTAACTCTTATCAATAATTGATGAGGTCTTGTGTGGTTGGTTATTCACTTATCAATAAAGCATTTTAAGCTGTTGTTCTAAGTGCAGATACAGTATATTGATATATCAGGTAAAGCTTATATAAACGCTTTCAAAATTAACATACGGGGAAATTGAACCATTTTATTCTAGGAGGTAATCTGCTAGCAACCTTAGCATAATTCTATAAGACGTAAGGCATTTAGCTTCAAAGCCATTGGCAACATATTCAATGTCATAATTTATAACAATTGTAATGTAAGAATTGGAGCTTTTCCGGATTGTGTTTAACAGGCTTAAAGTATAATGGAAAGTGTCGCTTTGTGATATTGAGACAGGAAGGGGATTAACTAGGAGAAAATGGAGGCCAAGGCGAAGTTTTTTCCACTCTCCTATTACGGTACATTTACTTGGATAAGGTAAACACATTCTGTTGATGGTACTAAGACCACTCCATGGACGATTAAACATTCACCAAACGGGCACCTGACAAATTGCCCGGAGTCTGTAAGTGAGGAATTTGATGCCATTACTTCCGGAGTACTATATTAAAGAACATAAAAAACGATAAAAAGGGTTCCAGACGAATAAAACAGAAAAACGTTCAACTCTATAGAGTACATTAAAAACAATACAAAATAACACAGAACATAATAATGATTTTGGAGTTAAAATGATCGTGAATGATGGAATACCTTCGTGCAAATCAGATGTAAATAATCCGTGACAATGACTATGGGAGAAATTGTTGACAATGCAGGGATATTTGCCGGATCCCCATCGTTCAGTCAGCAATCGGATGATTCGAGTAGTTTACGAAGTGCGTTGACCTCCCCTGTAAACAACCAAAAGGGTGAAACCAAAGTCAACCAACAAAAACCAAAGACAGCCAAGAAACGTGTAACATTCCCTGTGGATGATGCCGATCTCTGTGCCATAAGAGAAATCCCAAGACATTCGGACTCACCGTTATCCGAAGAGCTGGAACCCTGTGATCCTGATAGACTTCTTGAAGAAATGGGCTCGATGAAAGTCACCGATTCGTTCAGTAAGGGAAAATATGGATTCTCTAAATCAAGTGGTAGAACGCTGGATTTAGTGTCTCAGATAACTGGAATAACATCGTTTGGGAATTTTAATAGAAATGCCAATAAAAATAACAGACATATAGGATCTATTCAAAACTCAATGAAACAATCATTATACAAAGGAGATGGGAGGACCGGCGTAATGCATTCTAAATACACCGATCCTACCAGTGAAAGAACTAAAAGGCGTGACAAAAGGAGTCACGGTCATAGAAGGGTGAAATCTGCAGACGATGTAGATACCCTTAAAACAAAGACTCACAAAATTGTGGAGAGGAAATTATCAAGTGCCAAACCTAATGGAAATGGACGAGCGGATGGTGCTAAATCACGCGTTCACCAAGTCTCAAAGGATCAAAGAGTTAAATTTTTAGGAGATACCAACAACATTGCAAGATCACCATCATTGACGATATCGCGTACTAAGGACACTATAAGTCTAGACCTAAAGGGTCTCCATACGGGGGAGCCATTATTGCAGTCTTCAAGAGTCATGCAAAGTCCTTATAATTATAGACAAAGTGCCACTGCCAATCGGAATTCACAATTTTTTACTAAGCCATCTGAACCCAGTGTAGGACTTGAAACCAGTGGCAAAACGGTTGGTCCACAGACAAAAGTAGAGCCTAACTTTAGTAGAATTGGTGGCGAATCTAAAGTTACCAATAGTAAAACACAACGGTATTACGCATGGCATATGGCTAATCAAATGTCAGGGAGCCCGTTACCAGAGCTTGAGACACCCTGTATTTCGCCAATGTGGTCTGTGAAAAACAACAATGTTCCAGAGACGACATCTACATAATGTCACTGAAGTATCATTATGGATTTTCGTGCCATTTAAAAAAACGATCAATGGTCGTTTACTTACGCAGTTGTTTACACTATTTCAAGTTTCTTCATCTTATATTATCTTCATCTTATATATGTATGAGACAAACATTCTAAATTGGTAAATCACCCATCAAAATATCACCTAAGATTATATGTAGTCCGTCGTGTAACAAGTAGAAACCGTAGTATAATACAATATGCACTAGACATATACTGTTACTATTCAGCATCAAGGTGAATGGTAAAACTTTGCCAATTTAGAGAATATTTTGCCAATTATGCACAAGTTTAACAAAATCTCCTTAATGTTCTTTTCTTCAATGAATTTCGGAGGGCGTTATTTGACAGTTTCACTGTTAGACTTTTGTTGAATGAGAGTCCTGGAATTAGGGTACAGGCAAAAATTAAACAGTAATCTAAATCTCATCACGCTGCGATTCCATATTTGCAATTGCCAATTGTGTTATTTTGGTTCACGGTGAGCAGCAGAATATCCATTTTTAGAAAAATCATATGGAATAGAGAATTTGTGAACTATTCAAACTATTGTCTCACGTTATCTTAGTTGCAGCCCATGATAGATTTCGATTGAAGAAGTTTTGCATCTATTCATTTCAAAAGAAACCAATTTGATTTTTGTGAAATTAAAATAGGCAAATTCATTTTCCACGTGATTTTTAGTAACTTGGTATCCTGTATTTGGTTTGTAGCGACATCACCGCTGGATTACAATAGGATAACGGAGGAAAAGTTGACTTGAGAAAAAGAATACGTTTGAAATTAAGTCAATGAATATTCCTACAGTAGCTACTTGGAACTATCTTGGGGCCAGTTTTGCCTGTGTAATCCAATGGGGACATTCGTTTCCCTTCCATACTTTTGGAGGGTAGTGTATTCTAACATAGAATATGGTTTGCCTGCACTTTTCACGAATTTGAGTCTCATTTCGAAAGCAACCTCAGCGGTTGTCTCGTACGATATAGTAAACGAGTAACGTACATGAATATTGTAAAAGAAAATCGTAGTCTAGGAATCGAAAATTAGGAGCTTGCATGCATGGGTTACCTTTTTTCTATATTTATTTTTATAATCAGAACATAATTTAAATTTTTGCTCTATTAATCATGGATTTAGCATCACTCATGCTTATAGAAAACAAGTTCGATTTTTTTAGAATACAAACAATGTCCATTTCCTGTCAAAAGGGCTGTTTTCAATGGTAGTAGAATAATTGCATGTACATCAGCATATGATTATGTTGATCAATAAAATAAAGTTATTTATTTATAAATTATATCGTGTTTTATGTACACCATTGTCATATATTGCTTAGTCACGAGTCAGTTTTTTACCCTTTATATAAGATTGTTTACTGATGATTCTCTTTCTCCTCGCAGATTCTGCCGCATAACTCCCTCCACAAGTGGGTTTTCTGCACCATTTCCCATCCTCTTCAGATGTTACTCTCAAATGACGTTTCTCATTTGACGCTTTTTGGATTTTCTTAGTTGCCCTTGCGATCTTAGTTTTGTTTTCATGCTCTTGTTGTTCAATGGAATCGTGTCTAGCTTTTTTAATGTCCATTGTTAAGAGTTTGCGCTTCTCATCTGCTCTGTAATAGGCTTTCGCCTCTTGGTCCATTCTCCATTCATAGTCTCGAAGCTGACCTGAATATAAAGATGTGTTTTTTGTAAAAGTGTCATCCTTTGATTCTCTCATGTGGGACTTTGAGTCCTCAAAAATGAAATTATGTGGGAAACAATACATTTATAACAGCAGGGACAAATTAATGTAGTTATAGTTTCTATGTCATAGGCTATATGCATATGAACTTACTCTCAAGATTGTATTTTTCCCTTGCTAGCTTGAGTTGTAACTTTTTCAATTCTGCTTCTGACATGCTTTCAGTGTCGAGTTCTGATTTTCCTCCAGCCGCTAATCGTTTGAGCGATGCTTTTTCTTGTAGTAAACTCTCTCTTAATCCCGCTATCTGTTTCTCCAAAGCCTCGTTGTACTCTCTCTGGCACTCGTACCTACAATTGTCATAAAAAAGTGACAACCGGCAGCTCCACCACGTCAGAGCGATATATAAATTTAGTGAAGTATAGTGTGGATTTTTTTTATCAGCAAGCATAGCAATAATAGCCTGCATTAAATTACTGTTCCCAGGTCAAATATACGTCCTCTCCAAGGCTGAAAGGGCGATGATACACATAGGATCTATGATTACGAGTGTTGGACATGCGTCAATATTTATACCATCGATCACTTACCTCGTTTTCCATTCATTTTCCTCATTCATGACTGATTTGTCGCGTTTCTCCAACTCAGCAAAAGTTAGTTTCCATTCTCCAATTGACTCACATAGCATTCCCATCATATCCTCTTCGCACTTTATACGTTGCTTCATCTCAGTCGCTGGATCGAAATTAATTTTTCTATTTACCGCCATTTTATCAGGACGTATAGAACGTACGTCCTTGTACTTGTTAGCTAAGGATTAATCGGCGTTAAAGCCGCTACGTTTAACATTTGTTGTGGCCGTGATGTCATAATAATTAAGTGGGTGCGATTGTGATGTCACACAACAATTAAGTCTAAGACCTATGACTTGCAAAATTCTAGACATTACTTTTTCATTTTAACAAGAACCTGGTCCATGATTTCAAGTATACGAAAGTTTCTTCTGAACTATGTCAGTAACTAAAAGGGCGAAGTAGATTGAAATGCGATAATGTTAAAACGACATATCCCAGTAATTTTCAAATAGCGAAAACTCATGCGGTCCATCATTTTCAGCGTAAGTTTGGTCACCAAAATTTGGTTTCTTCCAAATTGGGTTTTTAGATCTCATCTTTTATATTGAATTGATGCAATAAAAATGAAAAAAGATCATTTTCTCAAAACATGAGTCAGATATTTTGAAAGAAGATAGGGTCTTACTCTTAATCCATGTTCTTTGAAGAGTCGAATTAATAATTTTATTATCCGGGGTAGGTAGTAATTTATGGTCAGAAAATACTCATGGTCAAACATCATGCCATAACATACCTGGTCCTTTGCTGATCAAACGATATCTTATTGAAATCATGCCGTGCGTCTGATAAACAGATCTTGATAATATTTGAAAATATCACTGGCTGTTATCATACAGATAACACAATAATCATGAATTATAACACGTAAAATTACAGCTGTCTCGGTTTACTCAATTCTCTAGCCAATAACACCTAAATATTGTACATCCTGGGTGCATTGTCAAGATAATTTCAACATATGGTGATTCCCAATGTTAACATTTTCCCTTCACCTCCTTTGGGAGACAATGGGATATAGTTGATGTGGCTTGTAATTGTGCAACCAACAGACCAATGGATTTTGTTGTTGGTGAGTCCATGTGATATCACAATACAATATGTTAGGCCCATCAATCATATCCTATTGGCTATCAGAGATTACTCTCTGCCAGTAATCACACATTCAGAAGCCTATTGTCCGCCATACTATTTTGAGACTTCATTTGCATTGGTCGATTGATATTGTACAAAAAGATTATTATTTGAACAGCCAATAACATCTTCCATTTATATATATTTCACACTTTATTATATTTCACCATTACACTAAATGTCAAAAGATATATTTTATCATTTAATCATTAGTGTCTTAATTGTCTTCAATTTCTTGTTCAGTGTCAGTTTTGGGACTGGCCTCAAATGTCAGAGCAACACCATTGATACAGTATCTGTGTCCTGTTGGTGGGGGACCATCATCGAACCTGTGCCCAAGGTGAGCACCACACTGAAACACAACAAAATAACACACTTCATCATGTAGTTTTTCTGAACAGTTTCTGCTTGAATATAAATTATATTATACGAGGGGGGATTCATAAGTAGTGGGACAAATGCTATGACTTCACTTATATCAACCAGATTTTATTCAAACTTGGAACACAGAACCACAAACATGTGACAATCATTGTGTGAAAAGTTACACCCAACTTCAGTAAAGTGAGAGTTCCAATCATGATGTCACAACAGGATCCACGGAGCACATTGTTTGTCACTAATTGCTAGTTAAACATACAAGTCTCAACTGATATTCAGGACGTGATCTAATCCGTGACTTCTAGCGAGTCCTTTTGTGGAGCACATCAATTCTGTGCAAGACTATTGATTCCTTATCCTTCTGGTGCAATCTCACTCTTTCTCAGTATTCGCCTTGACAATCAATGCATTTTTAGCATCTCCTCAACCATTCTAGGTATGCACCCTCAAAACCATATTTTCCAAGCTTGGTCATCTCGGCTCTCACAGCATATTTCAGTTCTAGTTCACCTATATGCTGTAGATTTTTTTACTTCTTCTTTCCCATAGACTTCGAATAATCCTCTATAGGTCTCTAATACTGAAAACTTCTTCAAAGCATTAAATTTAATCACAGCACGGATGTTTATACGTGATTCTTGCTTTTTCATTGCTATTTTAATCAAATTTTGCTCCATCCAAGAGGGACTGAAAATGGCAGTGTCCTGGTGTCACTGCTTTGTATGACATCACAATAGCATGATGATGTAATATATGTTATAGTTGTCATGACTACAAGGCTTGAGACAATATGAAACCAAATATTTGAAAATAATTGTCATTTTGAGATATTTATGAGCACATTTATGTTGATCAAGCCCTTCATTTTTTAACTGCTCCGTTAACCCCTACTTTTGGTTACCATAGCAACCGTTGTTGCTAGGGAACAAAATGAATTAAATTGAAATTTCACCAAACAATGCCTTACATCCTAGTCCATCCATGTGCCAAATTTGGTTGAGATATGTACACAGGGACTTGCTGCCTCAGAAAAGTCCCACTACTTATGAATCCCCCTCGTAGATGCTTCTTTAAAGGAATTAGATGGAATAGATGTTCCCCCTAGAATCCTCATTTTCTGAACAAAATTGAGATATCTCATCATAAGGGGTTGTTATAGATGATTTCATATGCAAAATGACCAAATTCATTAGAATTGAAAAATGTGACATCTCAATCATGCATGTAATTTAAAGGGAGACATTCTAATTTAGTTCAAAATATCCATAATTATATTATTTAACCAAACAGCAACCTTTATGATTTTCTACTTCCAAATGTATACTTTACCATTCATCAAAATATTGGTCTTGACCTTCATAAAAAGAAGAATCTGACCTCGACACATTCCAAAATGAACATAATTCGAACTTGCCAATATACAACCATCAAGGGGTACCCAGACTGATAAAAGATAATGTCTCTAAATTAAAGGGACTTAGTCTTAATAAGTGATCCTAAAATATACCAAAGTTTAAAATGAATTCAGAATGACCCATAACTTGCACTATTGATAGACTCTCAAATTTACTTTTCCATAAATATTAGAGCTTGAAAAAAATGTTCAGATAGTTTGTAAATCAATTTCCTTTTTGAAATTATAAGAAGTGCAAACACCCTTATACAATTGATTTAAACCTATCATCACATTTACAAGGTGAGCATTTTTTCAAGCCGAGATATCATCAGGAAAATGATTTGTGTCAATGTCTATAGATGGCGTAAATTGCAGGCTGTTCTTTAAAATGGATAATTCTTACTCTTTTGCAAAAAGTTTCAGTATTGGATCTGGTACGACGATGATTCACATGCACAACAAGCTCAACATTATCAGTATTATCCAAGGGACATTTGAGAGGTTCGTAGAACGAGGGCCAACCAGATCTGCTATCAAACTTTGCTTCAGAGCTGCAAAGAAATGGTAATAGAGCTCACTTGTAATGCAGATAATAATAAATATCATCCCTTACCCTTCTACATCGAGTTTCAATATTGGTTCTGCCAAAATGCATATGCTTTATCAGCTCTACGTTATCACTGCCATCTATAGGACATTTGAGGGATTCATAGAAGGATGGCCATCCAGTTCCACTATTGAACTTTGTTTCAGAGCTACAATAGAATGTGAACAGAACACCTTTGTAGATCTGCAAATATTGTTTTTGATTATACGATAATAGTAAACTATATACTGGTAACATAATGGCCTCGCAAATCACAATCAGCAATCATTTCTCAGGCTTGCTACTACAAGATAAATTACCAAAGATAGAACATATCATAAATAAGTATAAAACATCAACAAAATCGTTCAACTAGTTTACACTGGACTTACGGAATATTATAATGATAATATGATAATGATAATACCAGACAGTATTTCCTAACATTTTGAGATTTTTTGCCAGATTGCTAACTACAGTAAAACCTGTCCATCCAATTCATCCCCTCTTTGTGGATGCCTTTTTGACATCATTTTTTAATCTCCCATTTTAGACTTCCAAAACGAGAACACATGCTTTTGTGAACACATTTGGTGAGTCACAGTGTTGTTTGTTCAGAATGACAGGTTTTACTGTACCTCAAAATAAAAAGATGACATATGAATTTTACCCGAACAATTCTAGATCACAGCAAACACACTTGTAGGTGCCATCCTCATGTACGTCTAAAAGCTCACTTGTGAATGACTGAAATGTTGAACATATTTAGCAATTTTAGCTGCATGGAAACATACACTAATATTGTCTGGTGAAATACAGTATAACATATTATGTGATGCAAATCTAATTTACACAACAGTGATACAGGCTGAAAGCATTTGGATTATGATGATCTACTGTAGCATTCACAGGGTTTCAATTTTTGAAAAAATGTGAGCTCTATTGACTTAAAAATGAAATTTGATTCAAAACTATCGACATAAGAAAGAGACACATTTTGAGAGTTTGAATCTTTACTTAGAAATTCGAAAACATAAAGAACAGTCCATATTAGATAGATCCATTATAAATGCAAATACATGTATTGGAGTTGTGGTTTCTTTTGACATAAGAGTCAAGGGAAAAAATATGAGACCAGAGAAAGTGTTCAGATTGAGAGGTGTTCGCATGAAGGAGAGATTTTGGTTTAACTTTCCAATAAACATTTAATTGAATTTTAGATCAGTTTGGGATTATTCAATAAAAATAATATTTACATTGTTATGAAGCTGGTTGTGAACACTGTGGTTGCAAGTTCAAAAAACAAGTACAATAATTAATGTAGTTAAGAAAACCAAGTGCTTCAGATAGCTTCCTAACTAATGCTTGAAATACACTGCATAATTCAATTCTCACACGTTCTGTTCCTCTTAGCCTGGTCACCCTGTATTGCTCCTCAGTTAGTCTTTCCTTCCATTCCTCACGAGTTAGGTTAACCCTATCATCTGGCCCCAATGCTCCACAGCAAGACAGGAAGACCAAGCACAACCCTATATAAATTACACAATTCAGTTAGTGAATTAATATTGAAGAATGAGGGTTCTCCAATGTGAGCTTTTAAATATAAGGTTTACCCTAAGCAGCAAGGAGTCAAATCTTCCCAATGCTGTGAAATGATTTTCTTCAGAATACTAAAAGTTCCCATCCCCTGAGACCACGTATATATCTCCTAAAGGATAAACCCTATATCTAAAACCTGGGAACCATTTACTAATGTTTGTTTATCTTAGCTAAAAACAGCAATGGTGTAAATGATTTTTGCCACACTTTATAGAAGAAATTATTTATCAATAAATTAAAAAAACCTGGAATCTGGAAAATTATCTCTGGCATGAGGGTTGAGGAAACATATTTATCCCATACTTGGACGTGTTATAGGTACATAAAGCCGGTTTGTAAAAACTTATATTTTCATCAGCGGGCAGATATAGCTTTACGTCCCGCTCCGAGCGGGCAGATATAGTATATCTGCCCGCTACGTCATAATCGCCGCTCGCATATTTGTTCATAATTTGTAACATTCGCGTAATGACTGTAAACGACAATGGAGAAAACACAGATAATCGGGATCTGTTTGATGGTTTAAAAAGGGAAGGAACATCCACTTAATCAATCAGAAATTCGAGAAAATAAATGTGGGAATATTTGAAAGAACGGGAAAATCGGCCACGGCGAAGAAAACAAAACTGGACGTGAATATTCTAAAATATTTCCACGATTGAACAATGAGTACCGGATGACCAAGATTGGTATGGGATAAACATATTATCCTATAGTTGGTTCAGGATATTGGGATTATCCCTTGGCCAATATAATATATTTTCCCTCGGGACCTGCGGCCCTCGGGCAAATATATTATATTTGCCTTGGGATAATCCCAATATCCTGAACCTCATATAGGATAATCTCTATATATCCCACCCCAGTAGATATTACTTCCACACCCCAATGTTGTCTCAGGGAAACCTGCCTAAGTATGGCATAAATAAATACAACACATTGTCATGCATGCATAAATGTTGCTTCTTTATGTTTTTTAAATGTTGCTTGTGCCTTCTGATCATGACTCTGGTATTGGATTTCCTAAAGGGCATTTGCATTATATACAGTAAAACCTGTACTATGAAAACCTCTCTATTCTAATGTTTTAGTTGCTATGCTTTCCATGTTATAAAACAGGAAATGTGAGCACCTGGTCATAAAAACTTAAATGCACTTTACAAACTCACAGACATCCAAGGAGCTCTTATCTGGGTTTTAAGATTGATTTTTAATTTTTATTGCATCTGCTAAATATATGATGCTTTTTTAAAAATAATTTCAGCATACAGCATACTTTTACTGTATTAACTTCAAGCTAAGACATTGTGTATGATAAAACAACACAAAATTTTATTTCCACTCCAAAAACTGACATATCCAATGGCAATGGTTCATTTAATAAGAGCTACTATTGTTCAAGATCTTCAAGTTCATTTTCTGGTGCCTCTGTGAAGTTTAGGGCTACACTATTGATACAGTATCTCAATCCAGTTGGTGGTGGGCCATCATCAAATACATGACCAAGGTGGGCATCACACTAAAACAGGAGATGGAACAAATATACAGTATGTCTATATTTACATATTTACTTATTTTAAATATTCAATATTTAGTCAAAGCTATAGTATATTATAATCCCTATTCAATCCACAAAATTACTGTACATTATGTCCAAAAATATGGTTCTGAAAAGATTTTTCATTAAAGATTTCTTTTGAAAAGATGAGTTTAAGGTTGGATGGATTATCATATATTGGATGGATTATCATATATTATTTTTAACTTGAAAGGTGAAATATCTTCTCTTCTTAATAACTTTAAAATCATATAATTATCAATGAATGAATGATATAATCCATAACATATCATAACTTTGGATCATTATTGCTCCAAAAGAATGTGGGAACTATTTATTTGCTCTGCTGGTTATTTTACCAGTTGTAGCTAACTGGTGGTGAAAATAATAACCAAGTACATGTACTGGCATTTGGTAAATATACTGTACTTCTTCAAAAAAGGTTGTCCATTTAAACTGACCTACTTTAGATATTCAACAAATGTGCAGATGTACTTTTACTTTGGAAAAGTCTCCATTCACCATTGATTGACTACAAGACAGTGAAAACACAATTTCCAATCATCTTAAATGAGGCCAAAGATCACACAATGTAATATGGGTTGTGAGTGAATAGTAAAGATTTTGATTACCGTGATGCATTTTGCTTCATGAAAAATCCGATCTGGCCTTTCTACAGGAATGAGTTTGACATTAGGCTGGTTATCATCAGGGCACACTATAGGAGCCCAGAAGGCTGGCCATCCACTATTACTGTTATATTTTGTCTCGGAGCTGAAACAGGTTTCAACATAGAAATCTTGATACTAATGCAACATTTTGCAAAGAGAGGGTTTGTCCCAGGTGGTAGGATTTTGCATAGTATTTCATCCCAGGAGTAAAGACTTTTGAAATGAATATGTTCCCACTCCCAGTAATTAGAATCATAACTTTATTTGAACAGCTATTATTCCTCACAAGGGCCAATGGCCTACATGTAGGTTGTGAAAAGGTCACAAGGTTTCTTCCAGGGAAGGCAATCCGTGAGTCTTACAGCCAAGTTTTCTTTTTATCATAACTTTGAATTGTGCTGACTAAATGCCAAGTGTTCACCATTTTATTAATACCTTTTCACCAAGAAAATTTCAATTAAAATACTATAAAATATTAAAAATTATAAATAATACCTAAACAAAGGAGTGTCACAACCGATACAGTGGTAGACCCCTTCTTTCTTGTGCCAGTAGTACTTGTTATAGAATGACTATAATTAAATGTAATGAGAAAATCAGATAGGCAGTTTCACTTTTCCAACTCAAATTCTCATCTTCTCTTAATAATCTTTTCTGATCACTCTATATTCATGTGAAATTCTCACCATCGTGTCATTTTTGATATCATATATCAATAGAAGAAAATAAACTTCTCCGAGCCATCTTTTCTTATCACATGTACATGTATCAATAATGTTAAATTCTTAGGAGTCTCTCTATGTCAAGTTTTTTGATCACTAATTGCTAATGAAAAAAAGCTCATCATATTTATGCCACATTTACAAGCGATTTAATAACTGTCAAATTCTATCCCTCTCTGTGATATCTTCTGATCACCCTGTATTAATGCTGACAATTTGTTTTCTGGTTACCCAACATTTATCATGAAAAATTCATCTTCAGTGTGTCACAATTTCTGGTCAACCAGTACTGATAATAGCTAAAAATGTTACACTCTATGTCCTATCTTATCTAGTAACCCTGTATAAATAGTCTGAACATCTCACCCTCTCTGTGCCACCCTTTCTGGTTATCCTAAACTGTGCCGGAGTTAGGCGTTCCTTCCATTCTTCTTCAGTTAGTTCCAGTTTATCTGGCCTGTTGCCTAGCGACAGTTGTGCAAGCACCAAACAAAGGCCTGAAATAAAATTAAATATAAGCATTCTGCAATAATATATTAAATGTTTGTGTGAAAAAGTAAGTTAGTTCCTTTGTTAGTAAGGGGTTTTGAATTTGATCCACACTCTAGGGCGGACTGACTTTTTCACATCAGTCCTCAGCAAAGGATTTCATCTAGTGTTTTCATTTATAAAATATTTTGCAGACTCTTTTCAACATGTTAATAAATCTACATCCATTATTTAGTTTTAGTACAATAAAAATTTATCTGTTCACAATTCAATACTATACATGTAGATTTTAAGTGAGCTTATTTCTATGTGAATTTAAATGTTGCTATTTGTACACTCTGATCTGTATTTTCTGTATTGCAACTGATATATCAAGGTAAAGGAACAAAATGGCCACCATGTAATTTATCCAGCATGCCCAAAACCTAATCAGATCTTCGGATTTGTCTCCTTTTGAATATCGAAGTTGAATGAATAAGGCGTTTTCCTGGAATTTTGATGACCAGATTTATGTGACACCACTCATCGCCATGTATTCCCAGCTGCACAAGACAATGATAGCACCTTTTCAGTGTGATAAAAAATAGAACAATTCACATAAATTGATTATTAATAAATTAATTTTTCTACTTACAATCTCCATATTCAAGATCCTATTATCTCAAACTGCAAACTGTGTCCCAATCTTGATAATACTTTTTCAAATCTTATATTTAATTGGCAAAAGTACTCCAAAGCAGTGTTTTGCCTTACCATGGTGAGATAAACTATTTATTATTTTCAGCATGGTCACTCACAATATCTGCAGTATTTCCACTGTTACTCAATTTGCTCATTCTTAAATGTTTAATGTTCTACAGCACTTGACATTAGGGCTTTATTAAATGATAGCTAATCTACTTCCTGGTGAAAATAACTGAACATATTTGATGTGTATTATGCATTTCCAAAATATATTTTTTAAAAATACTGCACTTAATTATTAAACCATATTTTTGTGATATTTGAAAAATAAACAATTGTGGACTATGTCGTGTCAACCAAATATATAATAAGACTATCTAATATCTTTCAAATATAGTCCAAATAAATGTATAGTTTCCTGATAAATGTTTGTGTTATATCATATTTGATAAATTTGCTTCAAGTCTCTGAACCCCCTCCAGTCTATTTCACCCCCAGAGGTGTCCTGTGTGGGGGACACAAGGACTTGTAGCAAGACTGACTATGTGTGGTTATTCTTATTGTTCTGGTTCATTGGGAGTCGAAGGTGTTTTCTCAAAGTCCAATGAAGCACTGTTGATGCAGTATCGCTTCCCTGTTGGTGGTGGCCCATCATTAAACACATGGCCGAGATGAGCATTACACTGAAAATTACAAAGTAAAGATTGAATTAATTACAAGAAAAGATTATTCATCAAGCCCATATGACCAGTTAGCCAGGATTCATTATCTTTACCTACTCATATCAAGAACCCAAATGCACTTTCTTTGTAAATCGTAATTCAATTTTCAAAATTTATTCATTATTTATTTATTTGTTTACTTAATCATTTATTTATTTATTTATTTATCTATTCATTTATTATTTAGAGGAGGAAATACCCAGAATTTATAGATGAACCCATCTGTGTGTAAAGATGACCATAGAATCAATTTAAATGGAGAAAGGTTCATTTATCAATTCTTGGAAAATGCCTCCTCTTTATTCACGTAAAATAATATGCAGCATGTCAAGAATGAAAGATGTTTTATAAGTAAAGAACTATTTTGATTTACAAGACTTACAGGATTTTTCCTATTTTATACCTAGGTTTTAAAATGTTGTCAGATGTTAATATGTAAAGCTACCTTTTTACATGTGACTTCAGTTCTAATCAAGCCATGTGAAGTATCCTCAATTAAATTTACATTATCGGTATTGTCCACGGGGCATTTCGTTGGCTCAAAGAATGAGGGCCACCCGCTTCCGCTGTCATATTTACTTGCCGAACTGAAAAATTAATCATTAGGAGATTGAGACAGATATGAACATAACTGAATTGAGGGTGCATACAGTCATTGATGCAGGAAAATATCAATAAGACAATGAGGTTAATTTCCACCAGAAATCGACAGAACAAAATATACAATTACTGAGATAAGGTGGACTATTCATTATTCTAATAATAAAAATATGTCAATTCTGAGCAAAATTTTGCTGGAATTGATCAAAATTTAACTCTGTGGCTGAAGGCCAATTCTATTCATCCACCACACTTACAGAATCCTGGGAGCAGTGATACATGTACTCAATGTAGACTCGTATTAAAATATTCCACTGAATTTTGTTTGAAAGGTGGATATGTAAGGACAGGTGCAAAAAGAGAAGGACTGCAAAATCTGATGAAGTATTTAGGATTGTGAAATCAATTTGAGACGATCGAAAAGTTTTAACACATGTAGTACATACTAAACATTGTACATTTCAAGGAACATTTCTTTTAGGAATAGGCAATTCTCAATTTCCAGCAACAGTGAGCCAATTCTCAATTTTCCAGCAACAGTTAGCCAATTCTCTAATATGATGGGTAAGGTTTCTATTGATACAACAAATGTAGAATTATGACTAATAAGAGACTCCTGTCTTATGCTTTACCTGAACAGCTTTGTTCCACAGCAGACACATTCATAGACACCATCTTCATGATTTTTATAATATTCTCCAGTAAAGGGCTGAAATGAAAAAAACACCATCAGTTATTTTATTCTCCAGTCAAAAAACTGCATCCCTTGAAAAATGTTCCTGGGAATTCAAAGTCACACTTTTACACTAACCGAAATAAAATTGATGAAATTTTGTATCGCTTTTGCTATTTATCGGTCTAAATCAGTGTTCTGGCGAGTCTAGTATGTCATTGAATGATACAGATACCATCACTTGTGAGGTATAACTTATATTCAACCATTAGAAACACATTTTCTTTGCGTATTTCGAAGCAATTAGCTACTGATTAATGCTTTAGTTTAGGGGCAATCTGCGCGAGGTTCAATTTTTTGGTTCAGTTTCTTGCGCATGCGCATTCTCCATGATCTTGTGATCGCATTTGACCAATAGAAAATTGTTTGAATCGGGTCTTCAGCTAGCGGCCAATCGTAAGACTTGTACTGATTACTTGGATATCAAGTATTGAATAACTATTTGTCCTATCACATGCTTCGTACTTTTTCGATCAGAAATCAACTTCCGAGAAAGAAAATTTTATTTCTTTTAGAAATAGAATTTCCTTCAATTAGTGGATTCACGAAGTGATTTACGAAATTCAAATTGCGTCTCAAAAACGTAATTATTTTTAAATTTACATCCACCCAATCTTGATTTACGTCCTCTCCATTGAAGGACGCCGTTAATGAAATCTCTGATTGATAAATGAAAATTTGTGCCAAAAATTAACCTGATCGTGGCATTTATTTGGAAGTTCGAAGAAAAATCAATGGTCCACTTTTTCTATTCACCCTGTACATACAAATCTCATAAAGAATCTCACCCTTTCTGTGCCTTTCTGATGTGTGATGTAGTACTCTTCCGGTGTTAGACGTTCTTTCCATTCGGCATTTGTAAGTATGAGTCTGTCGTCAGCACCCAGCGCTAAGCAGCATGGAATGAACAACAAACACAATCCTGTATAATTAAAATAGAAATTTGCACTAAGATTCAAAGCAGTCAAAATAATTCTGGAAAATATTTGGTTTTTAATTTTTGAAGATGAAAACAATGACATCATTAAAAACAGTTAGTGAAATTGTGGTAGCAAATACTAGACACTAAACTATATTAGATTGATCAACTTGTTGGCACTAAAGTCTATTTACTTTGAACCACTGTAACAATTTATTGACATTTTCTAAGGCACTTATGTATTAGAATTGTAACTTAACCCATGTTCCCCATGCTTAATAATATAAACACTGGCCCTTCAGGAAGACCAGTTTTGTACTAATAGAGCTACCCAGAATAAATGTAGTTTTCAAATCAAATCAACAAATACACATGTACATGTATATGTTAAATCAAAGATCTACTTCCTACATTAAGACAGAAATCAGAGGCAAAGCCAGGATCAAAACATGTGTGAAGCAAAATCATATATGTGAGATAAAACTTTGCAGGGTGGAGAGAAAACTACCATAGACCCCTCCCATTCACAGAATAAAAACATCCACATAGCTAAAGGCTAATAAGCCATTTTCTTACACAAAGAACATGGGTTTGCGTAAAAAACAGGTGGCTGGGTAACATATACATAATCCGAGAATTTTAGAGATCATTGGACATACGATGAGATTGACAACAATCAACAACAATTGAGCTGTTAGAGAAGAGATTTGGATGTTTACGAGGTGAGCCTGTATTTTTTTACATTAGCGATACAGTGACTTTGGGGGGGATTTAAATCTTCCTGGGCCTGTGCACAGAACACTGTCACTGTGTGAAAAACTATAAATCACTGAAAACATTCATACCGGGTATTTAATTATTCTAGGTTCAATAATTTCTCTGCAGTGTTAATTATTGGGCGATAATAGGTGACACTAAGGTTATGTTATATAAACATGACCTTTCGGTTGTTAAATAATCATATAAATACCTGTATATGTATATATAGATTTTTGATGATTCTTTATCTGTTTTATGTTACTAGTTGTTCTTGGTTTTAGTGCGGGAATACCTCGAAATATCACTTTTATCGCAAATATCCTCCGAAATATCGTTGCTGACATTTTACTCGCTAGATGTCGCACCAAATGAGGTCAAGGTCGGTGAATTCGTCCACACATTTATTTTTTTCAACTATTTGTTGAGTTTTACTGATTATTTGGAAAGATATTAAATCCTCTTGGCTTTGACAAAAAGTCTATGTTCCGGGTGAGTATTCTACCTCATTACATGAAGCGAACGACGTCGATGATGGTGTAAATATGTAGAACTGTGAAGTCATCAATCAAGGCTTCGTTCGCGAACGAGTGAAACCGAAAGCGAAACATAAACAGCTGACAGTGACAAGAATCTTTCTTGGGAAATCTCGTACCTCCCAAAGGTAGCTTTCGCTGTCAATAGGAGGTATTTCTTAATAAAAATTCTGATATCTGTACTGACAACATAAAATCACAGAGATCTCGAAAGATTTACCTCTCCATATGGAGAATGTACCGCTCTCCGTCTAGACTATATCCTATTTATGATTATATTCAGACTATAAGGCACCTATGTTAAAGTTCGGTAATATGAAATATTTGTTTACATAGGAAGTGCTATTCAAAATGGCCGATTGGTAAAATTAATTTGCAAATTTGTTCTTCAAATAGCTTTATTTCCACTTGACAATATGCTGTGTTACTTTTAATGGCATTTAATTGTACCTTACTATTTAATTGAAATTTTGTAATGTTTATTTTATTGAAGAAATGGTTCCGCTAATTGATAATTTTGTGCAAAAAATTTCACTGCAATTTCCACAGGAAAGTAGTACATCATAACAGACTGACTTCTAGTCAGTCTGTTGGATACATACTAGCTCTCCGTCCATAGAATAACATAACAATAGGCCTACCATAGCATTGAAATGTCTGGCATCAGAGGCCATGACCATTTCAATACATCTGTAGTGCAGTGTGTACCTTTCTATATCTCTTCCTTCCTAGTTCCATACATGCAGGGAACATGACAAGCTTGGGAAATCAGTCTACTCAATTGTATGGAATCAAGTCAAGCAACTTTGATAAATCGAGAGTGTTATAAACACAACGATGTAATTGCATGATTTCACTTAGAGTATCTGACGTGTTGTTATTGAAAATGCGAGGAAATTCCCGCAGATGATCAGAGACAGCCAAAGTTGAATCTTTACAATCCAATTTATATTACTACAATATGTAAATTAAAATAGTCATTCGATGGTCAATTTAATCCATTGTGTTAATGGATGACATTTTGAAATACTGGTTGATTTAAAGTTTGAAGTATGAATTACTGCGATTTGAGACGGACATCAATATTTGTGTTTCCACCTCCCCCTCTAAGGTTCAGGATGTTAAAAATATTGATCACTTTGAATGCATGGTCTTATTCACCACACTGAGGGGATTTCAAATAGACTGGTACTGGACAAACTTCACGGTGCCCATGTCAAGCTGCGCGCCTACTTAGGCGCGCAGTTTGTTTCGATCACAAACTGCGTGCCTAAGAACATTGGATCATTTAAGTTGGAGTCTGTATTTTGAAACGTTATTTAAAGACATTTATCCTGCATTGTTTTCTTGTTCAATGCGTTCATTCTGTGGCGAATATACGAATCTTGCAAATACTAGCAAAAACTGTGTGCAAATGAATCTTAGTTTTAAAACATAAGCAGATTAATGGCATTTTCGTCACTGATTTAATGGGAATTTATACGTAAATCGATCTAGCACTTTAAACATAAATGACAAATACTTTAGACTCGTTTTATATTTAATTCCTTACACATTTATAATGTTTAATTCAAAATATTTCGAAATGAAACAGATAATCAGGAGATTAAAAAGAAATAAACCACAAACTGCGCGCCTATTTTAGCCAGAAATTACAATCTGTGCGCATACACTATTAAAACTACATATTATCATTGGAATTTCTACAGAGGTACGTGTAGGTGTTTTCGATGTGGCTTTGGAAATTTTGCTTTATCGTCAGATTTTATGAGATTTTCATATTGAAAGTCAAAATGTATAATAGAAGTGACAATTAAGTTGGGAACGAAAAAAACATTTATTTTCAGATCACCATCTTGGTGGATGGACTCTCATAGTGTTTCAATTATGGGGTTCTACTATTAGACACATATGTGCCTTGTATGGCGCTTATGTTTTCTAATCTTTTACAAAACAAGCTTGGATAGGCAAGCAGTTTTGAAATATTAGGCACGCAGTTTGGGAAATACATGTGAATATAGGCGCGCAGTTTGACAAGAAAAATGTTTAAATCACGTTTATGGTGTATTATCGTTTTGAACACAAACTTTGCTGTTTTAATCAGGTGGAGTGATCCTATATATTTTAGCATACACAGACACAATGGCTGAATAAACGGCAAATGACGATAAAAAGACATAGATATAACTTTACACTGTAAATTTTGAACACAGAAGTTACTTAAGACCCTTATATTGAGATAACTAGGTTGACATCGGGAAAAACATTGAGTACTATGAGTAAATTAAGTTCATCTTCACAGAATGATACTATCTTTAGAACGAGACTAACCTTGTATTTATCGTATTTTGGCTCTTTTTGGGAGTCGTGTCCTCCCCGTCTCACATTTTGAAATATGCGCGCAGTTTGTCAGAGTTTCAAACTGCGTGCCTAGTAGGCACGCTGCTTGACATGGGCATCGTGAACTTATGCAAGACAAACATATTAAGTCATGCATGTCTAAATTAACAATAAATGAGATAGTATGATGTAAACGTAAACCAATCATAAATCAGAATGCACAAGTGGCAACATTTAAAAGCACATAAAAGAATCCAGAAAATACCTTTACATTTCTGGTATGTGTGACATGTATATCTAAATGTAAGCATTCTGTGCTAAATGGTGGTGAAAAGAAAAATACAGACCCAGCTGTACAGTTAAAGTGGCTGTCAACCCCATTGCTGTTACTCCTTAGTTATTCTTTGACCCGAGCTTATCCTGGAAAATCAGATAGAATCTATGGTGTGGATGGGAGTTTCAATGATAAGTTAATTGCATACAGACATAGACAACATTGATCATTTAAACTGTGATGAACTTGAATAAATGCTAATTGAATACTTATTCATGCCAAAGTCATTTTTGAAATCATTTTGCATTATCAAGTGCTTGCAATTCGGTTACAAATAGCCTGCAGTGCATGTGATAAGTTGAGCTTATTTGTTACTAAGTATTGTATTGACAACAAACTGGTTGATCTGTAAAAATACAGCTTTTTAATATGTGCCTAAAAACTATTCATGATGTTTATATATTTTTCCAGGTCCTGTCTAGAGTGATGGGTGACATCTTATAGTATGAGATCATGAGGTAATAATAGTTTATTTCATGGTTAAGGGATATTGCAATAGAAATAGAATACAGCAGCACCACACTTTTCCATATAAATAGAGAAGCCTTAAGTAATTGTTAATTGATTCATAATTATAAATTACATGGGCGTAGCCAGCTTTAGTCAGGGGGAGCGCGATCGCCAAAACAGTTCTGTTTTCTTTTGTTTTGAATTTTACAAAAATTGATGCAACTTCCTTCAAAACTGAACTAGAAGCTTCAAATAGATTTAGCATTTTAAAGCTCTTTCTTCTTGTATCTCATGGTTCTAGTTTTATTTTATTGGTTATTTGAGGGGGGGGTCCAATCGCACCCCCCTGGCTACGCCTATGAATTATGATTATATAACTTTATATGACAGAATAATTTAAATGCAAAAAATGTCATAATAAGCTCATTTATATGTTTGGTAATTTATGAATTTTCACTGACAACATTTCTCCTAGATCCTCAAAGGATAAAAGTCTTGAAATAACATGTTCGGTTAAGATCCTGCTAACAAGTATACAGTGTAGAACAGAGACTTCTTTAAAGTTGAATTGAATTACTTACCCACCTTATCTTCCAATCAATGAAGATTCAAAGCTGCAGTTGCCTTTCAACCTCAGTGCTGTGTATATTTATAAACTTAGTTTACTGTATCTTGTATTTCTTGTATTGATGCTTGAGGCCTGTCAATTGCAATAAATGTCATGAGTTAAATAATGAGACAGGTTGTGATCTCGATCTGTAAGTAATATTCTAACTTGGAATTATATATATAGTCTTTAAATGTTACTCTCGAGAAGTTGTGAAGGCCAACTTTTAGAGATCGGGTGTTTAATAGTGTTTGGTGTCTATTTTATATTGTTACACTTTTGGAGCCTTTACCAGTAATTTACCCTATGGTGACATTTTGTAATGTTGTTGCCTTGTTTATTTATATGTGATTACTGCTTTAGTTTATTTCTAAAATGGGGAAGTACTATAAAATCTGATCTATTATCAGGTTTTACTAAAATGTTAGAAATGCATCAGATAGTGTTCATATTTCTGTATGTTCATAAATCAGCACATTTGTTGCAGGATTGGTTGGTAGCACAAATAGTGTTCCAAATATAGAGGTGTTCCAATAGACAGGTTTTGCAGAACAAACACATAGAACTTTCTTAATGGTCCAGATGTAACAAAATCAATGTATCACAATAACATGTTCTTTTAGTGTGTGGTAGAAGAGGGACAAAATGGCATATGTTTAAGTAAAACATCTTTATATTGTATTTCACTTTGCTTTCAGACTGATTCTCCCTAAGTAGCAAACATGTCTGATGAAGTTAAAGAAGTTGAGAAAAGACCACTAAGTGGTGAAGCTTGTGAAACAAATATCACTAAGAAGCCAAGAACTGAAACAAATGGAAAACTCAATGACAACAGGTAGATTTGATTCATTGATGCTATTTGAGCTATTGACCTACCAATATTACGGTACAGTATAGAAAACAAGAAAACAACCAGAGTCTGAATGTAATTCTTAAAATGGGTTTAGCAGGATGATTTTTTAAATGTGTGTACATAACACTAATATACATTACATATAAACGGCAACATATAAAGGTTCTACATCTAATCACTCAATGCATGCTGTCTTAGAAAAAAACATAATAGAAGACCACTATATTTTCTGATTGTAGATGCGTATACCTGGACTATAATGCAACAACCCCTCTTGATGTTGAAGTGCTGCATACCATTAGCAACACCCTACAGCATGCATGGGGGAATCCTAGTAGTAAAAGTAAACCAGGTAAAGGTCAAGGTAAAAGATCAAGGTCAAAGGTCATTTGACAAAGAATCACGACATCAAATCTGACTATTAAACCTGAAAATAAAAATTGGACGATACAAATCAGTTTATTCAAAACAAAGGAGCGTATCAGAACATATTGATTTACAAAAATGTCAGTAACTTCATGTACATTAAATAGTGGAGGAAATTAGGCTAGAGGCAGTAGAGGGGCCACTTTAATTTGTTCAGGGTATAATGATTCAAACAAAATCAAAGGATTTTTTTTAGGTGTGACACCTGCACATAAATATGAGATGTTTGCTGATTTGTATAATTGCAAAATGTTAAGAAAATGGAAATTATTGAGACGGATAGCAATGTATCGTCACCAAATATCTAAACTGCATTGGTATATGTGGGTTTGACTTTTGGTATCAAATGAAAACAATCAATATTGTACTTTATTTCCTATTTGTGAGTGATTTCTGATGTTCCATTGATGACATTTCTAAATGTAGGCATTGAGGCAGCTAAGGCAGTGGCTGTTGCTAGGCAACAAGTGTCAGAAATGATTCAGGCAATACCAAATGGTAAGTCAGCATATATCATGTACATCATCATCATATATCTCATGTACATTTAGGTTAAGATGCAGAAATAGCATTGAACAAGGGATATTCCCTCTTCCAATACTATTGCTGAAACAAAATTTTGACATTTTTTCTTCACTTACTCTCAACTCATCTTGTTTTTTAACATAAACAAATCTGGTACTTTTCTGAAATAGAAAATAAGTAATATTCTGGTGTTGAAATTCTGCTTCGCCTAAATGCATGCTTACAAAGTTGCTTTCAGATGTTTATCTACCTATATTTCTTTTATTACTTTCAGACATTGTGTTTACATCTGGAGGAACTGAGGTTAGTATGTTTTATAATGTATACACAGTATATGAACAGTAAAACCTGTCTAATCCAAACACTACAGCGATCAGCCAAAAGTGTTTATTCCATAATTATAGGATTCAATGGGAGATAGAAAAATTCGAAATTGGTAAACCATCTGTCTTCAGAAATTTTATAACCTGAAATACTTATGGTAAATGTACTTACTTTGGAAAGGTAGCAGGCCTTATAAAGCCAAGAATAGACTGGAAAAAGAAAAGACTTCAACCTTCAGGAAGCATACATTTTATATTGTTAGTACCTCAGTGTAAATACTCGCATCTGATTGGTAAATTAGCGGTCAACATTTTTGCCTGTACCTCACCTGTGCATCATGGGATATCATATTATTGACCGCGTATGTTACTGTACTACACTTGTGAATTATGGGGAATATGACGTCACAATGTTTACAGAAAACAAAATTGAAGACGGACATTTTGTAAACGTTGATGAAAGTGATATTTTGACTTTGCTAGACGGCATATAGCAAAAATACAAATAGAAACGCAAAATTAACATTAATTTACTACAGAGAGTCTAGCTACCACTGTCTTCTGATTTTCTTAACAAATTATTGCTGGCGTGGTTCGGAGAAAAGATTGTGAAATGAAGCCATGATTGATGACTGTCGTCTATATGTGTATTATTAGTTTCTTCTGACTAACAAAACAATTGTAGACCTCTCCATTCGGTCAACCGTCAAAATCATATACCTCGACTGTAAACCTTGAAACTACTGTTGACCTCGACCTTCGGTCTCTGTCAACAGTAGTTTCTCGGTTTACAGTCTCGGTATACAATTTTGCCGGTTGACCTCTGGAGAGGTCAAAAATTGTATATTGTTTCTTCCAGTCTAACAACTTGGTGTTGCATACTGCATTGAAACACTTCCAGAAAACATACTTTTTATATTGTTTCTTCCAGTCTAACAACTTGGTGTTGCATACTGCATTGAAACACTTCCAGAAAACTTACATTTTATATTGTTTCTTCCAGTCTAACAACTTGGTGTTGCATACTGCATTGAAACACTTCCAGAAAACATACATTTATATTGTTTCTTCCAGTCTAACAACTTGGTGTTGCATACTGCATTGAAACACTTCCAGAAAACATACATTTTATATTGTTTCTTCCAGTCTAACAACTTGGTGCTGCATACTGCATTGAAACACTTCCAGAAAACATACATTTTATATTGTTTCTTCCAGTCTAACAACTTGGTGTTGCATACTGCATTGAGACACTTCCAGAAAACTTACATTTTATATTGTTTCTTCCAGTCTAACAACTTGGTGTTGCATACTGCATTGAAACACTTCCAGAAAACATACATTTTATATTGGTTTCTTCCAGTCTAACAACTTGGTGCTGCATACTGCATTGAAACACTTCCAGAAAACATACATTTTATATTGTTTCTTCCAGTCTAACAACTTGGTGTTGCATACTGCATTGAAACACTTCCAGAAAACATACATTTTATATTGTTTCTTCCAGTCTAACAACTTGGTGTTGCATACTGCATGGAAACACTTCCAGAAAACATACATTTTATATTGTTTCTTCCAGTCTAACAACTTGGTGTTGCATACTGCATTGAAACACTTCCAGAAAACATACATTTTATATTGTTTCTTCCAGTCTAACAACTTGGTGTTGCATACTGCATTGAAACACTTCCAGAAAACATACATTTTATATTGTTTCTTCCAGTCTAACAACTTGGTGTTGCATACTGCATTGAAACACTTCCAGAAAACATACATTTTATATTGTTTCTTCCAGTCTAACAACTTGGTGTTGCATACTGCATTGAAACACTTCCAGAAAACATACATTTTATATTGTTTCTTCCAGTCTAACAACTTGGTGTTGCATACTGCATTGAAACACTTCCAGAAAACATACATTTTATATTGTTTCTTCCAGTCTAACAACTTGGTGTTGCATACTGCATTGAAACACTTCCAGAAAACATACATTTTATATTGTTTCTTCCAGTCTAACAACTTGGTGTTGCATACTGCATTGAAACACTTCCAGAAAACATACATTTTATATTGTTTCTTCCAGTCTAACAACTTGGTGTTGCATACTGCATTGAAACACTTCCAGAAAACATACATTTTATATTGTTTCTTCCAGTCTAACAACTTGGTGTTGCATACTGCATTGAAACACTTCCAGAAAACATACATTTTATATTGTTTCTTCCAGTCTAACAACTTGGTGTTGCATACTGCATTGAAACACTTCCAGAAAACATACATTTTATATTGTTTCTTCCAGTCTAACAACTTGGTGTTGCATACTGCATTGAAACACTTCCAGAAAACACATTTTATATTGTTTCTTCCAGTCTAACAACTTAGTGTTGCATACTGCATTGAAACACTTCCAGAAAACATACATTTTATATTGTTTCTTCCAGTCTAACAACTTGGTGTTGCATACTGCATTGAAACACTTCCAGAAAACATACATTTTATATTGTTTCTTCCAGTCTAACAACTTGGTGTTGCATACTGCATTGAAACACTTCCAGAAAACATACATTTTATATTGTTTCTTCCAGTCTAACAACTTGGTGTTGCATACTGCATTGAAACACTTCCAGAAAACATACATTTTATATTGTTTCTTCCAGTCTAACAACTTGGTGCTGCATACTGCATTGAAACACTTCCAGAAAACATACATTTTATATTGTTTCTTCCAGTCTAACAACTTGGTGTTGCATACTGCATTGAAACACTTCCAGAAAACATACATTTTATATTGTTTCTTCCAGTCTAACAACTTGGTGCTGCATACTGCATTGAAACACTTCCAGAAAACATACATTTTATATTGTTTCTTCCAGTCTAACAACTTGGTGTTGCATACTGCATTGAAACACTTCCAGAAAACATACATTTTATATTGTTTCTTCCAGTCTAACAACTTGGTGTTGCATACTGCATTGAAACACTTCCAGAAAACACATTTTATATTGTTTCTTCCAGTCTAACAACTTGGTGTTGCATACTGCATTGAAACACTTCCAGAAAACATACATTTTATATTGTTTCTTCCAGTCTAACAACTTGGTGTTGCATACTGCATTGAAACACTTCCAGAAAACATACATTTTATATTGTTTCTTCCAGTCTAACAACTTGGTGTTGCATACTGCATTGAAACACTTCCAGAAAACATACATTTTATATTGTTTCTTCCAGTCTAACAACTTGGTGCTGCATACTGCATTGAAACACTTCCAGAAAACATACATTTTATATTGTTTCTTCCAGTCCAACAACTTGGTGTTGTATACTGCATTGAAACACTTCCAGAAAACATACATTTTATATTGTTTCTTCCAGTCTAACAACTTGGTGCTGCATACTGCATTGAAACACTTCCAGAAAACATACATTTTATATTGTTTCTTCCAGTCCAACAACTTGGTGTTGCATACTGCATTGAAACACTTCCAGAAAACACACCCAGAGTCTTCTGATATGAAGCCCCATTTCATCACCAGTAATATAGAACATGATGCAGTCAAACTTGTACTGGAACATTATAAGGAAGAATATGAAGCAGGTTTTTAGAGTTTTCTTGTCAACAGCTAACGTGTTAAAATATGGGATTATTTCGAGCCATCATACAGGATGAAGTATAAATAAATGAAACTAGAAAAGAAGATGTATTATCATAGTCCTCACTTGTTTCTGTAATTAATCATGTGCCAGTGTCATTTAATCATTAAATGGCTCAAGGCAATTAAGGGGGGATAAGCATTGGCATTCCACAATTCACTTGCGATGTAATCATTTCCAGTGATGTCATAATATGTACCAGTTCCACAATCTACTTCAATGCTGTCTGCTTTACAGAGGTGACATATGTGTCAGTCTCACACTCCACTTCAATGTATGTTTTTCAGAGGTGACATATGTGCCAGTCTCACACTCTACTTCAATGTTGTCTGTTTTGCAGAGGTGACATATGTGCCAGTTTCACATTCTACTTCAATGTTGTCTGTTTTGCAGAGGTGACATATGTGCCAGTTTCACATTCTACTTCAATGTTGTCTGTTTTCCAGAGGTGACATATGTACCAGTCTCACACTCTACTTCAATGTTGTCTGTTTTGCAGATGTGACATATGTGCCAGTTTCACATTCTACTTTAATGTTGTCTGTTTTCCAGAGGTGACATATGTACCAGTCTCACACTCTACTTCAATGTTGTCTGTTTTGCAGATGTGACATATGTGCCAGTTTCACACTCTACTTCAATGTTGTCTGTTTTGCAGAGGTGACATTTGTGCCAGTTTCACACTCTACTTCAATGTTGTATGTTTTCCAGAGATGTCCAATGTGCCAGTCTTACACTCTACTTCAATGCTGTCTGCTTTGCAGAGGTGACATAGGTACCAGTTTCACACTCTATTTCAATGTTGTCTGTTTTGCAGAGGTGACATATGTGCCAGTTTCACACAACACTGGAGCAGTTGAGGTCCAAGGAGTCCTAGATGCAATAAAGTCCAACACTTGTCTCATTTCCATTATGCTGGCAAACAATGAAACTGGAGTTATTCAGGTACACACGTATGATATTTCCACTCATCTATTTCTCTATCAAAATTGGTTTCAAGGTTTTCTTTATGTTAAGGCGTTTAAATGTTATAATTAATTGCCTCCAAGACTTGTAAATTACAATATTATTATTTGATGTACATTTGTATTTATAATTTTATTATTAATTAATATATTTTGCAGCCAGTTCAGGAGATCTGTGAAAGAGTTCGTAGTCTTCCTCAATATTCATCTATTCTCCTCCACACTGATGCTGCTCAGGCTATAGGCAAAATAGAAGTCAGTGTAAGATCCCTGCCTGTAGACTATCTCACAATTGTTGGTCATAAGGTAGGGAAACTATCTCACAGTTCCTTGGGTTCAACTTATAACATAGATCACTTTTATACAAAAATCCCAAACTGATGCAATAATTTGCTTCATAGATGAGCAATATTAACTGCAATTTATTAAGAATCCTTGCAATTATCAAAATGGCTACCTTTTGTAAATGGTTACATGTACCTCCCAATGCCAGCTAAGTATGCATGGTATTTTTTATTTCCAGTTTTATGGTCCAAGAATAGGAGCATTATATTTTAGGTCTAGCAAGACGCCAGAGCAAGCGAGTGCTCCTCTCTACCCAATGTTTTTTGGAGGCGGACAAGAGAGAAACTATAGACCAGGGTAAGTCATTGCTAATAGTAATACATGTACATGTACATGTGTTGAGGTGTCACATCATAGAGCCTTTGATATAATTCAAGGGTCAAACTCTTTTTAGACAAGTTATGTTGTCGACATTATTTACATTACTTGTACATCTTTTTGTTAACGAGAGAAATAAATGGAAACATAAAAAACTGTTTTAGAAAAATAAACTCATAGTCTATCAATATATTTCCAGTGAAAGAAATACTGCCATGGTTTCCTGCCAAAATCTGATTAACCAATATCTGATTATCCAAGTTATCTGGTTATAAGTGTGCCTGTAAAGTAATGACAAATTGAAATGATGGACATTGATTGAAAGCTATGTAACACCCTTGTCGCTATATTTACAGCACTGAAAACACAGGCATGATAGCTGGTCTAGGAAAGGTGTGTACATACATGTATATGTGTTTTTATATATAATTTATAATTGAAATTGGCCAGGAAGAAAACTCTTGTTTTTGGTCAATTTTGTTAATTAACATACTATTTAATCTGAGGCTTAATATTCCATGAAATTCCTGTCATCTACTAAACTACTCATTCTGATACTCATAGCGTCTTTCTGTTTCACCTGAAATATCTCAGGGCTGAGAAGAAGTGAGATGTCATGGTTTATCATGATGTAAACTACTACATGTATATCTATTCCATGAAGAAAACAAGAGAGACAAATAATTATCAAGTCAGATTTGTAGATGATTTCTTACTCATTTATGTACCTGCAGCTTTTAATCAAAAATCTTGTTCCATTTTCAGGCTTGTTATCTAGTAACAAAAAACCTAGAAAACTACGCTAAACACATGAGAGAACTGAGGAGTTATTTTGAATCTAAACTGAGGGTAATTATGATAAAAATTTATATAGTAGCCGGGACAAGTCATACACCTCTTATTTCCTGATAATGGGGCAATTCTAGCAGTTATTTGAGTGCTTGCTCACATACTGGCTTCTGTACATGAATTTTTACTTATGTATTTCATCTATTTCATATAATTTATTAGTTAAAATGAAATAATAAAATCATTTTTGTATGTTTTTTTTCTAGAGTGTATATGGTGAAAGACTTCATATTAATGGAAAGTTTACAGAAAGTGAGAGGTTGCCAAACACGAGTAATGTTTCCATAGAAGGGATGCATTTGAAAGGTACGGTACAACAGAGATAGCTGACTCATAAGTTTAGATCTCTTGATTAATTTTGATTCAGAAATCGAAATCGTTGACATTTTAAACATGAAGTTTTACTAGTTGGGGTCCCTTGTTTAAAACATTGAGTCGTGGAAATCATACCAGCATCCTACCCCAAAGCTCTAGAAACAAAAGAATTACAAAGTAGGCTACTTTAACTGGTTTTGTATCAAAGACATTATTGTTGATTGTTATTCCCCAGGTTCTGATGTTCTGAGAAACTGTCAGTGCACGCAAGCCTCAGTTGGAGCAGCCTGTCACTCAGCAACAAAGTAAGCATATATCTGTCAATGAAATCTCTGTACTGTAGTTAATTCACTAGAGAATAGTACAAGAACTAACTGATGCATGTGATTACTTATATAGTCATACAAACCAAAATAAGGAGAACTTGTCATAAAACCACTGAGACGTCAGAAGTGTTCAGAACAGCAAAGGTTAACATTTCAAGGATCTTAAAGAGACTCTTGGGAGAGATTACAAAATTTAGGCTGAGAGAAAGTGTTCATATTTAAGAGGTGCTCAGATTACAGAGCCGTTTAGGTTACATTTGAGAGATTTTGATGGAGATTTGAAGTTTGAAGACAAATCTATCCCTAGACAGGTTGATATTTACAGTTGCAATTATATCATTTATTTTTCTTGCAGATTTTGTGTGTCAAGCATTCTCACAGCAACAGGAATACCAGAACATATTGCTGCCAATGCAATGAGGTTTAGTATGGGACGTGAAACAACAATGGATGACATTGACACTGTGATTTTTGACATTGTTAAAGCAATTAAGGCTATAGATGCCCATTCATGACACAATAGTTTGATACATTGGACATATTGCTGCCAATGCAATGAGGTTTAGTATGGGACGTGAAACAACAATGGATGACATTGACACTGTGATTTTTGACATTGCTCAAGCAATTGAGGCTGTAGATGCCAATTCATGACACGCAATAGTTTGATACATTGAACATATTGCTGCAAATGCTATGAGGTTTAGTATGGGACGTGAAACAACAGTGGATGACATTGACACTGTGATTTTTGACATTGCTCAAGCAATTGAGGCTGTAGATGCCAATTCATGACACACAATAATTTGATACATTGAACATATTGCTGCCAATGCAATGAGGTTTAGTGTGGGACGTGAAACAACAATGGATGACATTGACACTGTGATTTTTGACATTGCTCAAGCAATTGAGGCTGTAGATGCCAATTCATGACACACAATAATTTGATACATTGAACATATTGCTGCCAATACTATGAGGTTTAGTACATGTAGTATGGGACGTGAAACAACAATGGATGACATTGACACTGTGATTTTTGACATTGCTCAAGCAATTGAGGCTATAGATGCCCATTCATGACACGCAATAATTTGATACATTGAACATATTGCTGCCAATGCAATGAGGTTTAGTATGGGACGTGAAACAACAATGGATGACATTGACACTGTGATTTTTGACATTGTTCAAGCAATTTAGGCTATAGATGCCCATTCATGACACGCAATAGTTTGATACATTGAACATATTGCTGCAAATGCTATGAGGTTTAGTGTGGGACGTGAAACAAACAATGGATGACATTGACACTGTGATTTTTGACATTGCTCAAGCAATTGAGGCTGTAGATGCCAATTCATGACACACAATAATTTGATACATTGAACATATTGCTGCCAATACTATGAGGTTTAGTACATGTAGTATGGGACGTGAAACAACAATGGATGACATTGACACTGTGATTTTTGACATTGCTCTAGCAATTGAGGCTGTAGATGCCCATTCATGACACAAAATAATTTGATGCATTGAACATATTGCTGCCAATGCAATGAGGTTTAGTATGGGACGTGAAACAACAGTGGATGACATTGACACTGTGATTTTTGACATTGTTAAAGCAATTAAGGCTATAGATGCCCATTCATGACACAATAGTTTGATACATTGAACATATTGCTGCCAATGCTATGAGGTTTAGTATGGGACGTGAAACAACAATGGATGACATTGACACTGTGATTTTTGACATTGTTAAAGCAATTAAGGCTATAGATGCCCATTCATGACACAATAGTTTGATGCATTGAACATATTGCTGCCAATGCTATGAGGTTTAGTATGGGACGTGAAACAACAATGGATGACATTGACACTGTGATTTTTGACATTGCTCTAGCAATTGAGGCTGTAGATGCCCATTCATGACACACAATAATTTGATACATTGAACATATTGCTGCCAATGGTATGAGGTTTAGCGTGGGACGTGAAACAACAATGGAAGACATTGACACTGTGATTTTTGACATTGTTAAAGCAATTGAGGCTGTAGATGCCAATTCATGACACACAATAGTTTGATGCATTGAACATATTGCTGCCAATGCTATGAGGTTTAGTATGGGACGTGAAACAACAATGGATGACATTGACACTGTGATTTTTGACATTGTTCAAGCAATTAAGGCTGTAGATGCCCATTCATGACACAAAATAGTTTGATGCATTGAACATATTGCTGCCAATGCTATGAGGTTTAGTATGGGACGTGAAACAACAATGGATGACATTGACACTGTGATTTTTGACATTGTTAAAGCAATTAAGGCTATTGATGCCCATTCATGATACACACGAACTTAATACATTGTGATTTTTAAAGGGGACCAGTCATAGCATTGGTTCCTATATTTAGACATTTGGTATGGCATTGGTCTTATATTTTTTGACATTTGGTATGGCATTTGGTTTGGTAGAGGGGGTGCCATTGCTTATTGACACCCTGTATATCGTTTGGTATGGGAACACATCGAAATTTGACAAATTGGTGTGGGAATATATTGAGATACGAGGGTTCAGCCTAGGACCCCTGCTGAATTTTGTACAAAGTAATCCGCACGGGCTAAGAAAAATTAGCATGATGGGTTCACTCTTGATTTAAAAAGAACATTGAGTATGTGAAAAGATGTATTTTTCTGACAAAGGGGGCTTGCTGGTATTTGCTGGGTAATGGTGCTGGGGTAAAATGATGAGATGATCTGTTGGAGTGAGAGGAGCAAGGCCATCTTCAGAAATAAGTGGAATTGACTAATAAAAAACTTGTAACTAGTTCAAAAATCAAAATATTCTGTTCAATTTAGGGACCCGGTACAAATAGTAATGTTTTGATCAAACCATTTCTGTCCATTTAAATGTTATCTTATAAATTGAGAATGTTAACATTTAGATTACCTTATTCACCTAAAAAAGCGCCCCAATGAGCACCCCTTTAATGTATGTCTTGGTCATGGTCAGTAACTCAGTATGTAATCCATGATAAAAGTTATTAAGTATTATACGATTTTTGATGACGAATGGAACGAAATTATTGAAGTAAGATCATTGGGTGTTAATCTTCATTAATAGTTAGTACGATCAGTAGATCACTTCTAATCACTGTGAAATCGAAGGAAGAAAACTGAATGTGTATGTATGTGGTGTGATTCTTCAGAAAAAAACACCCCATCTGTTAACTCATGAGACCGACCCCTCCGACTACACTAATTTACAGCCTTCGTGTAAACGACCTTATGTATATTATGTTTTATGAGCCTATATTCCATATAAACGGTTTCTGGTGGGATATAAAAATGTTTGCTTGTGTGCTCAAACACAAGAATCAAAGAATAGATCATTTTAACAATTACTTCCTAAGGTTCCTATGGCCAAAAGTAAAGGGAAAGGTAAAATGTTAAGAATGCAAGAAAACTGACCTAATCTTCTGATTTCATATACACAGATATTTTTTATTATTATATAGGTCAAAAATTGACTGTTTTTATAGATACTGTATATAAAGTCAGCGCATTACCAGAGGAACTTATTAACTTAACAACTTGAAAGGTCTACACTTCAACATTATATATATTTTTCCTCCTGTTATTGACAATGTACAATGTACATTCAGCTTACTCACTTCGAGAGCCATGTTAGATTTTGAATCAAAATCCAAATAGCTTTCGCAGGAAGTAACATTCAGCTGCATTTTTTTTTTTTTTTTTTTTTTTTTTTTTTTATTAAAAATATTTATTCTCTAAATTAAAATCAAATACATAATAACACTTGACACTTTAAATAAGTGTATCAGCGTGAAAACATTTAAATATTAACCTGAGTCACATGGAAATGAGAAAAAAAGACCAATTAAGAATATTTACTCAGTAAAAAGAGAATAAAATTGATAACAATATATAAAATCTACATATATGTTTGTCAGTAATTCAGTTCATCATATGTTGATGTCATATGGATTTTAAAATTCTTTTTAAAACAGTAAATGGAAGGTGATGTTTTCAAAGAAGTTGGCAGATTATTCCAAAGCTGAGCACCTGAATATTTTATTGAATGTTGACCTATACTTGTTCTAAATTTTTTCATGTGAAGACAATTTTGGAATCTTGTCTCATGTTCGTGAAATATTAAATTTGGAGTAAAATAATTTTCAAATATGTCAAAAGGAAAGCCATCGGGTTTTGTTGTGTATTGATAAAGAAATTTTGCAACTTCAAGCTTATGTATGTCAAAAATATCTAGAAAATTGAGTTGTTTAAAAAGAGGTGGACTGTGTGCTAAAAAGTCAGAATTTGTGATTATTCTCACTGCACGTTTTTGTAACAAAAGCAATTTATTCAAAAAGGTTTTACATGCATTACCCCATATGATGTTGCAATAGTTCAATTGTGATAATATAAGTGAATTATAAATGGTAATCATGGTTTTTGTATTCAATTTATATTTAATCTTTCCCAGAATACCAATAATTTTTGATATTTTATGTATAACCTTATTTATGTGTTCATTCCATTTTAATTTACAATCAATTGTTACTCCCAGAAAATTTGTATGCATTACTCTATTAAGAATATTACCCCCTATTTTTATATTAAAATCTTGATTTTCATCAATATTTAACTTTGATCTTGTAAATAGCATATAATTTGTCTTGTCTATATTTAAAGAAAGTTTATTTGATTTGAACCATTCTAATGTCTTTTCCATTTCTAAATTTACATTTCTATATAGATCATGAAGATTTTTGTTAGAACATAAGATATTTGTATCATCTGCGAAAATAGTAAATTTAAGAATATTTGAAACCTTATGTAAATCATTTATATAAAGAATGAATAAGATGGGGCCTAAAACAGACCCTTGAGGTACACCACAAGTGATAATATTTTCTTCAGATAGAGTGTTGTTAAAAGAAGTAATGATTTTTCTATCCGATAAATAGCTTTCGAACCAATTTTTTGCAACATTGCGAATTCCAAAATTATCAAGTTTTTTTAGAAGAATTTCATGATTTACTGTATCGAAGGCTTTCGATAAATCTAAAAATATTCCAATAGCATGAGTTGAGCTTTTATCTAAAGATATCCTCACTTCTTCCAAGAAGGAGAGGATTGCCATATAAGTTGAATAATGTTTTCTAAAACCAAACTGATTTTTGAATAAAAGTTTGTATGTTTCAATGAATGTTATTAATCTATTTTTCATGATCTGTTCTAAGAGTTTAGAAAAGACACTAAGTAGAGATATGGGTCTATAGTTTGAAAATTTTGAAGTGTTTCCTTTTTTAAAAAGTGGGATAACTTTGGCTGTTTTCAACTTAGTGGGAAAAACACCTGTATGGATAGATAAGTTTGCTATATGAACAAATGGTAAAAGTAAGTTATTTCTTGCGTGTTTAACTACTATTGGTTTGAATTCATCTAGGCCTGGTGAGCAATCTTTTAAAACTGAC